CTCCGTAGAGGGTCGAAGAGTAGGAGTAAGCCTCCGTAGTGGGTGGTAGTGTAGGAGTAGGCCCCCGTAGTGGATGGTAGTGTTGGAGTAGGTATCTCCGTAGTGGGTAGTATTGTAGGATTAGGTATCTCCGTAGTGGGTAGTTGTGTAGGATTAGGTATCTCCGTTGTGGGTGGTAGTGTAGGAGTAGGCCCCCGTAGTGGATGGTAGTGTTGGAGTAGGTATCTCCGTAGTGGGTATTAATGTAGGATTAGGTATCTCCGTAGTGGGTAGTTGTGTAGGATTAGGTATCTCCGTAGTGGGTAGTTGTGTAGGATTAGGTATCTCCGTTGTGGGTGGTAGTGTAGGAGTAGGCCCCCGTAGTGGATGGTAGTGTTGGAGTAGTTATCTCCGTAGTGGGTAGTTATGTAGGATTAGGTATCTCCGTAGTGGGTAGTTGTGTAGGATTAGGTATCTCCGTAGTGGGTAGTTGTGTAGGATTAGGTATCTCCGTTGTGGGTGGTAGTGTAGGAGTAGGCCCCCGTAGTGGATGGTAGTGTTGGAGTAGTTATCTCCGTAGTGGGTAGTTATGTAGGATTAGGTATCTCCGTAGTGGGTACTTGTGTAGGATTAGGTATCTCCGTAGTGGCTAGTTGTGTAGGATTAGGTATCTCCGTTGTGGGTGGTAGTGTAGGAGGAGGCCCCCGTAGTGGATGGTAGTGTTGGAGTAGGTATCTCCGTAGTGGGTAGTTGTGTAGGATTAGGTATCTCCGTAGTGGGTAGTTGTGTAGGATTAGGTATCTCCGTTGTGGGTGGTAGTGTAGGAGTAGGCCCCCGTAGTGGATGGTAGTGTTGGAGTAGGTATCTCCGTAGTGGGTAGTTATGTAGGATTAGGTATCTCCGTAGTGGGTAGTTGTGTAGGATTAGGTATCTCCGTAGTGGCTAGTTGTGTAGGATTAGGTATCTCCGTTGTGGGTGGTAGTGTAGGAGTAGGCCCCCGTAGTGGATGGTAGTATTGGAGTAGGTATCTCCGTAGTGGGTAGTAATGTAGGATTAGGTATCTCCGTAGTGGGTAGTTGTGTAGGATTAAGTATCTCCGTCGTGGGTGGTAGTGTAGGAGTAGGCCCCCGTAGTGGATGGTAGTGTTGGAGTAGGTATCTCCGTAGTGGGTAGTATTGTAGGATTAGGTATCTCCGTAGTGGGTAGTTGTGTAGGATTAGGTATCTCCGTAGTGGCTAGTTGTGTAGGATTAGGTATCTCCGTTGTGGGTGGTAGTGTAGGAGTAGGCCCCCGTAGTGGATGGTAGTATTGGAGTAGGTATCTCCGTAGTGGGTAGTAATGTAGGATTAGGTATCTCCGTAGTGGGTAGTTGTGTAGGATTAAGTATCTCCGTCGTGGGTGGTAGTGTAGGAGTAGGCCCCCGTAGTGGATGGTAGTGTTGGAGTAGGTATCTCCGTAGTGGGTAGTTGTATAGGAGTAGGTTTCTCCGTAGTAGGTGGTATTGTAGGATTAGGTATCTACGTTGTGGGTGGTAGTGTAGGATTAGGTATCTCCGTTGTGGGTGGTAGTGTAGGAGTAGGCCCCCGTAGTGGATGGTAGTGTTGGAGTAGGTATCTCCGTAGTGGGTCGTTGTATAGGAGTAGGTATCTCCGTTGTGGGTGGTAGTGTAGGAGGAGGCCTCCGTAGTGGATGGTAGTGTTGGAGTAGGTATCTCCGTAGTGGGTAGTTGTATAGGACTAGGTATCTCCGTTGTGGGTGGTAGTGTAGGAGTAGGCCCCCGTAGTGGGTAGTTGTGTAGGATTAGGTATCTCCGTAGTGGCTAGTTGTGTAGGATTAGGTATCTCCGTTGTGGGTGGTAGTGTAGGAGTAGGCCCCCGTAGTGGATGGTAGTATTGGAGTAGGTATCTCCGTAGTGGGTAGTAATGTAGGATTAGGTATCTCCGTAGTGGGTAGTTGTGTAGGATTAAGTATCTCCGTCGTGGGTGGTAGTGTAGGAGTAGGCCCCCGTAGTGGATGGTAGTGTTGGAGTAGGTATCTCCGTAGTGGGTAGTTGTATAGGAGTAGGTTTCTCCGTAGTAGGTGGTATTGTAGGATTAGGTATCTACGTTGTGGGTGGTAGTGTAGGATTAGGTATCTCCGTTGTGGGTGGTAGTGTAGGAGTAGGCCCCCGTAGTGGATGGTAGTGTTGGAGTAGGTATCTCCGTAGTGGGTCGTTGTATAGGAGTAGGTATCTCCGTTGTGGGTGGTAGTGTAGGAGGAGGCCTCCGTAGTGGATGGTAGTGTTGGAGTAGGTATCTCCGTAGTGGGTAGTTGTATAGGACTAGGTATCTCCGTTGTGGGTGGTAGTGTAGGAGTAGGCCCCCGTAGTGGATGGTAGTGTTGGAGTAGGTATCTCCGTAGTGGGTAGTTGTATAGGAGTAGGTATCTCCGTAGTAGGTAGTATTGTAGGATTAGGTATCTCCGTTGTGGGTGGTAGTGTAGGAGTAGGCCCCCGTAGTGGATGGTAGTGTTGTAGTAGGTATCTCCGTAGTGGGTAGTTGTATAGGAGTAGGTATCTCCGTAGTAGGTAGTATTGTAGGATTAGGTATCTCCGTTGTGGGTGGTAGTGTAGGAGTAGGCCCCCGTAGTGGATGGTAGTGTTGGAGTAGGTATCTCCGTAGTGGGTAGTTGTATAGGAGTAGGTATCTCCGTAGTAGGTAGTATTGTAGGATTAGGTATCTCCGTTGTGGGTGGTAGTGTAGGAGTAGGCCCCCGTAGTGGATGGTAGTGTTGTAGTAGGTATCTCCGTAGTGGGTAGTTGTATAGGAGTAGGTATCTCCGTAGTAGGTAGTATTGTAGGATTAGGTATCTCCGTTGTGGGTGGTAGTGTAGGAGTAGGCCCCCGTAGTGGATGGTAGTGTTGTAGTAGGTATCTCCGTAGTGGGTCGTTGTATAGGAGTAGGTTTCTCCGTTGTGGATGGTAGTGTAGGAGGAGGCCCCCGTAGTGTATGGTAGTGTTAGAGTAGGTATCTCCGTTGTGGGTGGTAGTGTAGGAGGAGGCCCCCGTAGTGGATGGTAGTGTTGGAGTAGGTATCTCCGTAGTGGGTAGTTGTATAGGAGTAGGTATCTCCGTTGTGGGTGGTAGTGTAGGAGGAGGCCTCCGTAGTGGATGGTAGTGTTGGAGTAGGTATCTCCGTAGTGGGTAGTTGTATAGGAGTAGGTATCTCCGTTGTGGGTGGTAGTGTTGGAGGAGGCCTCCATAGTGGGTGGTAGTATGAGAGTAAGTTTCTCCAAAATCGACACCCAGCCTCTCCTAAAAATTACATTTAAGCATAGTCCATCCATATCACATTAATTGCTGCGTTACGTAATTAGCAGCATCTCATATTTCTAAAGATTTACGTTCATTTACGGTTGTAACTACAAAATACACATCCGACTGTCCTGTGCATAGCGGAGGGACATGTGATCTCAAGAAATTTGCCAGCATGAACCTTTGACTTTTTGGCACCTGTTGGCTGAATTCCACTGACCGCTTTCATATCCTGAAACAGACTTAGCAGGAAATCTGGCTGCACTACGGGGGACAGATCCAAGAACAAGCCATGCCACCGAAACCTTGCAGAAATACGAAACCTACTGCTACCTAAAGAAAGCTTTGAGCATCACGTGCGAAAGTAAATCGACGCCATCTGCCTGTACAAGGCGGCGCAAAAGACATTGTTTTTTCCCCGTCTATTACACACTTGAAAAACTCGACGCTTTTCCGGACACTTTCAATAATTCAATTTTAATTAAACTTCCGTCGTGTTTCCTTCCATATACCCATGTAGGGAAAACAAAGACATTGTCGTGTCTGCAGTGAAATATGCAACAGGTTGCGATGAAATTAAATGTATATGTTTTGAGGGTTATTTTGTCAATTCGATCTTTTTGAAAAACTGTATTTTGTAACCTTTATTTTGAACAAGTTAAGAATAAGAGTAATTAATCTTGAATTTCAGTGACATTATGTTATAATTGTCACTACCTGTGACCCCTGTTCGTCACGTTCTATGACAGCTGATCTATTTGTCTATGTGTAAGTACGCCTTCCAAGAGAGCACCGTTTTCAATGCGCCCTTCTCGTCATGGTATAATAGAGGTTAACTAACTTTGTTTTGAAATTTGAGGTAGTCTAACTGTAGATTAGAAACCTCGTATTTTAAGTTAAATTTCAAAACTCTAGGTTTATCTCCTTACTCACTCATGATAATATTTCAAAAGCTCAAATGAATAAAATAACAGTTAAAATCTAAAACTCTGGAATTCACGATCACAGGATCCTTGCACCTATTTTTCTGTGAAACCATCCAATTATCCCGATGTTGTCAATAAATCATTGATTAATGTAACACGTAAACGTCTTCTGTTTGAGCTCTTCCCGAAAAGACACGAGCAATAACAACTGCCATGTACTGTCCGATATCAAATTGTGTCTCATCTGATTTCAAAAGAAAATGAAACCTTTCGTTTTGCTTCAAGCAGTGGGCAGGCGTTATTGAAATACTTGGTTTTGGAATATGTAGAAATGAGTTTAAATATCGACCTTTAACTGTTTTGGGGGGATGGAATTTCGGGTTATGGGTCTCCAACAACCTTTGTTCGTCTTAAGAGTAAGTGAGTATGGCTTTACGCCGCTTTTAGCAATATCCCAGCAATATCACGGCGGGGGACACCAGAAATGGGCTCCACACATTGTACCCATGTCGGGAATCGAACCCGGGTCATCGCCGTGACGGGCGAACTCTTTACCCACTAGGCTATCCGACCGCCCCTGTTCGTCTTAAGAGGCGATCTGATGTACAAGGTCGTCGACTTCATATCAATATCTGGTTGGCTGGTCTAGACTATTATTTACAGGTTGCTATCATATAGCTGGCAAATGCCAAGTGCGGCATTAAACAAAAAAAAATTAAATGACTGGTGATGGTAGCGGTCAACATAAATTAATACAAAACATACTACTAAAAATTTGCTTTCAACAAATAAATGATTACACAATGATTGGGTAACCCATACAGGACAATACATAGCATCATGAACGTGCAGAGGCATGCAGTCATGTGCACGATATGCACGGGGTGCTTGAAAACCTGTTTGGATGTTTCATGACAGAATCGTTGCACAACATTTGCTTCTGAGGATTGCAACATAACGATTGTATAACTGCTTAGAATCACAAAACAGACGCGGCAAACCTATGAGCCAATGAAATCATTTATGACGGTCGGCCGGTGCTTTACGCCACGCCCCAAATGGGTTTGTTTTAGAAGCCGATTACGGAGCATGTGATTTTAGCATTTTCACTTGGATTTATTTAAATACAAATATTATGAATTTTTCTCTCTCGGATATTGACTAAATGTATCGAGGAAAATTCATGGTCGCAACAAAATAGCAGTTATGTTTTTCAGATTACTTGCCCTTTAACAGTACACAATGTTATTTCCTTCAGATGCGAAATTCTTCCCAGGATACGCCAATCCAGCATGTGATCCAATAGTCTTGCAGCCAACAACTTCACAAACAACATCAGCAACCACTTCAGCCACTACATCTGCAACAACATCAGCTACCAATTCAGCCACTACGTCTCCAACGACATCAGCGACCACATCAGCTACTACTTCAGCCACTACTTCAGCCACAACGTCGGCTACAACGTCCATCACAACTACAACAACCTCTGCAACTACGTCACCTACTACGTCTGCAACTACATCTGCCACAACGTCACTCACCACTTCAGCAACAACATCAGCTACCACTTCAGCTACAACCTCTGCGACAATCTCTCCAACAACATCAGCTACCACTTCAGCTACAACCTCAGCCACTACTTCTGCAACTACATCTGCAACAACATCAGCCACTACTTCCGCCACTTCTTCAGCCACAACGTCGGCTACAACGTCCATCACAACTACAACAACCTCTGCAACTACGTCACCTACTACGTCTGCAACTACATCTGCGACAACGTCAGTAACCACTTCAGCTACAACATCAGCTACCACTTCAGCTACAACCTCTGCGACAACCTCTCCAACAACATCAGCAACCACTTCAGCTACCACTTCAGCCACTACTTCTGCAACTACATCAGCGACAACGTCAGCCACTACAACAACCTCTGCAACTACGTCACCTACTACGTCTGCAACAACATCAGCCACTACGTCTGCAACGACATCAGCGACCACATCAGCTACTACTTCCGCCACTACTTCAGCCACAACGTCGGCTTCAACGTCCATCACAACTTCAACAACCTCTGCAACTACGTCACCTACTACGTCTGCAACTACATCAGCCACAACGTCACTCACCACTTCAGCAACAACATCAGCTACCACTTCAGCTACAACCTCTGCGACAATCTCTCCAACAACATCAGCTACCACTTCAGCTACAACCTCAGCCACTACTTCTGCAACTACATCTGCAACAACATCAGCCACTACGTCTACAACGACATCACCGACCACATCAGCTACTACTTCCGCCACTACTTCAGCCACAACGTCGGCTACAACGTCCATCACAACTACAACAACCTCTGCAACTACGTCACCTACTACGTCTGCAACTACATCTGCCACAACGTCAGTAACCACGTCAGCAACAACATCAGCTACCACTTCAGCTACAACCTCTGCGACAACCTCTCCAACAACATCAGCAACCACTTCAGCCACTACTTCTGCAACTACATCTGCAACAACGTCAGCCACTACAACAACCTCTGCAACTACGTCACCTACTACGTCTGCAACAACATCAGCGACTACGTCTGCAACGACATCAGCGACCACATCAGCTACTACTTCAGCCACAACGTCGGCTACAACGTCCATCACAACTACAACAACCTCTGCAACTACGTCACCTACTACGTCTGCAACTACATCTGCCACAACGTCAGTAACCACTTCAGCAACAACATCAGCTACCACTTCAGCTACAACCTCTGCGACAACCTCTCCAACAACATCAGCAACCACTTCAGCTACCACTTCAGCCACTACTTCTGCAACTACATCTGCAACAACGTCAGCCACTACAACAACCTCTGCAACTACGTCACCTACTACGTCTGCAACAACATCAGCCACTACGTCTGCAACGACATCAGCGACCACATCAGCTACTACTTCCGCCACTACTTCAGCCACAACGTCGGCTACAACGTCCATCACAACTACAACAACCTCTGCAACAACATCAGCTACCACTTCAGCTACAACCTCTGCGACAACCTCTCCAACAACATCAGCAACCACTTCAGCCACTACTTCTGCAACTACATCTGCAACAACGTCAGCCACTACAACAACCTCTGCAACTACGTCACCTACTACGTCTGCAACTACATCTGCCACAACGTCAGTAACCACTTCAGCAACAACATCAGCTACCACTTCAGCTACAACCTCTGCGACAACCTCTCCAACAACATCAGCAACCACTTCAGCTACCACTTCAGCCACTACTTCTGCAACTACATCTGCAACAACGTCAGCCACTACAACAACCTCTGCAACAACGACAACTACTACGTCTGCAACAACATCAGCCACTACGTCTGCAACTACGTCTGCAACGACATCACCGACCACATCAGCTACTACTTCAGCCACAACGTCGGCTACAACGTCCATCACAACTACAACAACCTCTGCAACTACGTCACCTACTACGTCTGCAACTACATCTGCCACAACGTCAGTAACCACTTCAGCAACAACATCAGCTACCACTTCAGCTACAACCTCTGCGACAACCTCTCCAACAACATCAGCAACCACCTCAGCTACCACTTCAGCCACTACTTCTGCAACTACATCTGCAACAACGTCAGCCACTACAACAACCTCTGCAACTACGTCACCTACTACGTCTGCAACAACATCAGCCACTACGTCTGCAACGACATCAGCGACCACATCAGCTACTACTTCAGCCACAACGTCGGCTACAACGTCCATCACAACTACAACTACCTCTGCAACTACGTCACCTACTACGTCTGCAACTACATCTGCCACAACGTCAGTAACCACTTCAGCAACAACATCAGCTACTACTTCAGCTACAACCTCTGCGACCACCTCTCCAACAACATCAGCAACCACTTCAGCCACTACTTCTGCAACTTCATCTGCAACAACGTCAGCTACTACAACTACCTCTGCAACTACGTCACCTACTACGTCTGCAACAACATCAGCCACTACGTCTGCAACGACATCACCGACCACATCAGCTACTACTTCAGCCACTACTTCATCCACAACGTCGGCTCCAACGTCCATCACAACTACAACAACCTCTGCAACTACGTCACCTACTACGTCTGCAACAACATCAGCCACTACGTCTGCAACGACATCAGCGACCACATCAGCTACTACTTCAGCCACTACTTCAGCCACAACGTCGGCTACAACGTCCATCACAACTACAACAACCTCTGCAATTACGTCACCTACTACGTCTGCAACAACATCAGCCACTACGTCTGCAACGACATCAGCGACCACATCAGCTACTACTTCAGCCACAACGTCGGCTACAACGTCCATCACAACTACAACAACCTCTGCAACTACGTCACCTACTACGTCTGCAACAACATCTGCCACAACGTCAGTAACCACTTCAGCAACAACATCAGCTACCACTTCAGCTACAACCTCTGCGACAACCTCTCCAACAACATCAGCAACCACCTCAGCTACCACTTCAGCCACTACTTCTGCAACTACATCTGCAACAACGTCAGCCACTACAACAACCTCTGCAACTACGTCACCTACTACGTCTGCAACAACATCAGCCACTACGTCTGCAACGACATCAGCGACCACATCAGCTACTACTTCAGCCACTACTTCAGCCACAACGTCGGCTACAACGTCCATCACAACTACAACAACCTCTGCAACTACGTCATCTACTACGTCTCCAACTACATCAGCCACTACGTCTGCAACGACATCAGCGACCACATCAGCTACTACTTCCGCCACTACTTCAGCCACAACGTCGGCTACAACGTCCATCACAACTACAACAACCTCTGCAACTACGTCACCTACTACGTCTGCAACTACATCTGCCACAACGTCAGTAACCACTTCAGCAACAACATCAGCTACCACTTCAGCTACAACCTCTGCGACAACCTCTCCAACAACATCAGCAACCACTTCAGCTACCACTTCAGCCACTACTTCTGCAACTACATCTGCAACAACGTCAGCCACTACAACAACCTCTGCAACTACGTCACCTACTACGTCTGCAACAACATCAGCCACTACGTCTGCAACGACATCAGCGACCACATCAGCTACTACTTCCGCCACTACGTCAGCCACAACGTCGGCTACAACGTCCATCACAACTACAACAACCTCTGCAACAACATCAGCTACCACTTCAGCTACAACCTCTGCGACAACCTCTCCAACAACATCAGCAACCACTTCAGCCACTACTTCTGCAACTACATCTGCAACAACGTCAGCCACTACAACAACCTCTGCAACTACGTCACCTACTACGTCTGCAACAACATCTGCCACAACGTCAGTAACCACTTCAGCAACAACATCAGCTACCACTTCAGCTACAACCTCTGCGACAACCTCTCCAACAACATCAGCAACCACTTCAGCTACCACTTCAGCCACTACTTCTGCAACTACATCTGCAACAACGTCAGCCACTACAACAACCTCTGCAACTACGTCACCTACTACGTCTGCAACAACATCAGCCACTACGTCTGCAACTACATCAGCGACCACATCAGCTACTACTTCCGCCACTACTTCAGCCACAACGTCGGCTACAACGTCCATCACAACTACAACAACCTCTGCAACTACGTCACCTACTACGTCTGCAACAACATCTGCCACAACGTCAGTAACCACTTCAGCAACAACATCAGCTACCACTTCAGCTACAACCTCTGCGACAACCTCTCCAACAACATCAGCAACCACCTCAGCTACCACTTCAGCCACTACTTCTGCAACTACATCTGCAACAACGTCAGCCACTACAACAACCTCTGCAACTACGTCACCTACTACGTCTGCAACAACATCAGCGACTACGTCTGCAACGACATCAGCGACCACATCAGCTACTCCTTCCGCCACTACTTCAGCCACAACGTCGGCTACAACGTCCATCACAACTACAACAACCTCTGCAACTACGTCACCTACTACGTCTGCAACAACATCAGCCACTACGTCTGCAACGACATCAGCGACCACATCAGCTACTACTTCCGCCACTACTTCAGCCACAACGTCGGCTACAACGTCCATCACAACTACAACAACCTCTGCAACTACGTCACCTACTACGTCTGCAACAACATCAGCCACTACGTCTGCAACGACATCAGCGACCACATCAGCTACTACTTCAGCCACAACGTCGGCTACAACGTCCATCACAACTACAACAACCTCTGCAACTACGTCACCTACTACGTCTGCAACTACATCTGCCACAACGTCAGTAACCACTTCAGCAACAACATCAGCTACCACTTCAGCTACAACCTCTGCGACAACCTCTCCAACAACATCAGCAACCACTTCAGCTACCACTTCAGCCACTACTTCTGCAACTACATCTGCAACAACGTCAGCCACTACAACAACCTCTGCAACTACGTCACCTACTACGTCTGCAACAACATCAGCGACTACGTCTGCAACGACATCAGCGACCACATCAGCTACTACTTCCGCCACTACTTCAGCCACAACGTCGGCTACAACGTCCATCACAACTACAACAACCTCTGCAACAACATCAGCTTCCACTTCAGCTACAACCTCTGCGACAACCTCTCCAACAACATCAGCAACCACTTCAGCCACTACTTCTGCAACTACATCTGCAACAACGTCAGCCACTACAACAACCTCTGCAACTACGTCACCTACTACGTCTGCAACAACATCAGCCACTACGTCTGCAACGACATCACCGACCACATCAGCTACTACTTCAGCCACAACGTCGGCTACAACGTCCATCACAACTACAACAACCTCTGCAACTACGTCACCTACTACGTCTGCAACTACATCTGCCACAACGTCAGTAACCACTTCAGCAACAACATCAGCTACCACTTCAGCTACAACCTCTGCGACAACCTCTCCAACAACATCAGCAACCACTTCAGCTACCACTTCAGCCACTACTTCTGCAACTACATCTGCAACAACGTCAGCCACTACAACAACCTCTGCAACTACGTCACCTACTACGTCTGCAACAACATCAGCCACTACGTCTGCAACTACATCAGCGACCACATCAGCTACTACTTCCGCCACTACTTCAGCCACAACGTCGGCTACAACGTCCATCACAACTACAACAACCTCTGCAACTACGTCACCTACTACGTCTGCAACAACATCTGCCACAACGTCAGTAACCACTTCAGCAACAACATCAGCTACCACTTCAGCTACAACCTCTGCGACAACCTCTCCAACAACATCAGCAACCACCTCAGCTACCACTTCAGCCACTACTTCTGCAACTACATCTGCAACAACGTCAGCCACTACAACAACCTCTGCAACTACGTCACCTACTACGTCTGCAACAACATCAGCCACTACGTCTGCAACGACATCAGCGACCACATCAGCTACTACTTCAGCCACAACGTCGGCTACAACGTCCATCACAACTACAACAACCTCTGCAACTACGTCACCTACTACGTCTGCAACTACATCTGCCACAACGTCAGTAACCACTTCAGCAACAACATCAGCTACCACTTCAGCTACAACCTCTGCGACAACCTCTCCAACAACATCAGCAACCACTTCAGCTACCACTTCAGCCACTACTTCTGCAACTACATCTGCAACAACGTCAGCCACTACAACAACCTCTGCAACTACGTCACCTACTACGTCTGCAACAACATCAGCCACTACGTCTGCAACGACATCAGCGACCACATCAGCTACTACTTCAGCCACAACGTCGGCTACAACGTCCATCACAACTACAACAACCTCTGCAACTACGTCACCTACTACGTCTGCAACTACATCTGCCACAACGTCAGTTACCACTTCAGCAACAACATCAGCTACTACTTCAGCTACAACCTCTGCGACAACCTCTCCAACAACATCAGCAACCACTTCAGCTACCACTTCAGCCACTACTTCTGCAACTACATCTGCAACAACGTCAGCCACTACAACAACCTCTGCAACTACGTCACCTACTACGTCTGCAACAACATCAGCCACTACGTCTGCAACTACATCAGCGACCACATCAGCTACTACTTCCGCCACTACTTCAGCCACAACGTCGGCTACAACGTCCATCACAACTACAACAACCTCTGCAACTACGTCACCTACTACGTCTGCAACAACATCTGCCACAACGTCAGTAACCACTTCAGCAACAACATCAGCTACCACTTCAGCTACAACCTCTGCGACAACCTCTCCAACAACATCAGCAACCACCTCAGCTACCACTTCAGCCACTACTTCTGCAACTACATCTGCAACAACGTCAGCCACTACAACAACCTCTGCAACTACGTCACCTACTACGTCTGCAACAACGTCAGCCACTACGTCTGCAACGACATCAGCGACCACATCAGCTACTACTTCAGCCACAACGTCGGCTACAACGTCCATCACAACTACAACAACCTCTGCAACTACGTCACCTACTACGTCTGCAACTACATCTGCCACAACGTCAGTAACCACTTCAGCAACAACATCAGCTACCACTTCAGCTACAACCTCTGCGACAACCTCTCCAACAACATCAGCAACCACTTCAGCTACCACTTCAGCCACTACTTCTGCAACTACATCTGCAACAACGTCAGCCACTACAACAACCTCTGCAACTACGTCACCTACTACGTCTGCAACAACATCAGCCACTACGTCTGCAACGACATCAGCGACCACATCAGCTACTACTTCAGCCACGACGTCGGCTACAACGTCCATCACAACTACAACAACCTCTGCAACTACGTCACCTACTACGTCTGCAACTACATCTGCCACAACGTCAGTAACCACTTCAGCAACAACATCAGCTACCACTTCAGCTACAACCTCTGCGACAACCTCTCCAACAACATCAGCAACCACTTCAGCCACTACTTCTGCAACTTCATCTGCAACAACGTCAGCCACTACAACAACCTCTACAACTACGTCACCTACTACGTCTGCAACAACATCAGCCACTACGTCTGCAACGACATCAGCGACCACATCAGCTACTACTTCCGCCACTACTTCAGCCACAACGTCGGCTACAACGTCCATCACAACTACAACAACCTCTGCAACTACGTCACCTACTACGTCTGCAACAACATCAGCCACTACGTCTGCAACGACATCAGCGACCACATCAGCTACTACTTCCGCCACTACTTCAGCCACAACGTCGGCTACAACGTCCATCACAACTGCAACAACCTCTGCAACTACGTCACCTACTACGTCTGCAACAACATCAGCCACTACGTCTGCAACGACATCACCGACCACATCAGCTACTACTTCAGCCACAACGTCGGCTACAACGTCCATCACAACTACAACAACCTCTGCAACTACGTCACCTACTACGTCTGCAACTACATCTGCCACAACGTCAGTAACCACTTCAGCAACAACATCAGCTACCACTTCAGCTACAACCTCTGCGACAACCTCTCCAACAACATCAGCAACCACTTCAGCTACCACTTCAGCCACTACTTCTGCAACTACATCTGCAACAACGTCAGCCACTACAACAACCTCTGCAACTACGTCACCTACTACGTCTGCAACAACATCAGCGACTACGTCTGCAACGACATCAGCGACCACATCAGCTACTACTTCCGCCACTACTTCAGCCACAACGTCGGCTACAACGTCCATCACAACTACAACAACCTCTGCAACAACATCAGCTACCACTTCAGCTACAACCTCTGCGACAACCTCTCCAACAACATCAGCAACCACTTCAGCCACTACTTCTGCAACTACATCTGCAACAACGTCAGCCACTACAACAACCTCTGCAACTACGTCACCTACTACGTCTGCAACAACATCAGCGACTACGTCTGCAACGACATCACCGACCACATCAGCTACTTCTTCAGCCACAACGTCGGCTACAACGTCCATCACAACTACAACAACCTCTGCAACTACGTCACCTATTACGTCTGCAACTACATCTGCCACAACGTCAGTAACCACGTCAGCAACAACATCAGCTACCACTTCAGCTACAACCTCTGCGACAACCTCTCCAACAACATCAGCAACCACTTCAGCCACTACTTCTGCCACAACGTCAGTAACCACTTCAGCAACAACATCTGCAACAACCTCAGCTACAACCTCAAACATTAGTAAGTGTGATAGTGGCATGGATCATGTATTCCTTTCACATCACACGTATATGTACGTCATGCACACGGGACAGTAGCAAAACATCACATGGGGTTGTTTCTTCATAAACATTTTTGCATATGTCCCGTTCCCTTCCCTACCCTTCCTTTCACCAAGTGGTGTCTTTTAGCCAATAACAAACCTCCAGTGACGTCATCCTATTGTTCTCCAGTCAGGTTAAATGTCATAAAAATAGGATGTTATGTTATCCACGGGATTTTAATAATACAACATTTCTCGGGGTTGAAAATTATGTTGCATTTGAACATAATGTAACGAAATGACAAATGAAATGACAAATGTTTTCTTTCTATTCCCGCGCATCGAACATGCAACCTCATCAACCGCATCAACCGCATCAACCGCCAAGTGAGTGTAGCACTAGGCTACAGAGGCGCTGATAACTCACAATGCTTTTAAGAATGTTTTTTTTCAAGTACCCGTACACCAGCAACATATATTTTAGCCCGTTTCCTCAGGTTCATGGAAAGTATGTTGAAACCTAAAGTGTTGATAAATGTTGTTTTAAGTTTTCGGTTTAAGAGTTAGATAAAACACACACCCTTGGGTTTCTACAAGGTTTTATAACCCTCGTCCTCGGTATAACTGAAGCCCCTCGGTTTATTCCCTTGGATTCGGGTTTTAAATCTCATAAAAACCCTTTGACGTGTTTATCCCATACTTAGTAACTATATTCCATCGTACAGAGTAATATTGTACAGAGGAATATTGCCCACAAACAAGTGTAGACTTAATATGAGGTTAATACCTGTTTTTCATTGGTTCATAAAAACGGTTATTGACATCTTAGAAGGTCTACAATTGCTTTATCATCGCCTGGCGCCAGGTACCGCCTCCGTGGTCTAGTGGTTGAGCGTCCGCCCGGAGAGCGGAAGGTCCGGGGTTCGATCCCCGGCCGCGTCATACCAAAAGACGTTAAAAGATGGTACTTGTTGTTACCCTGTCTGGCGCTCGGCATTAAGGGGCTAAAACAAGGACTGGACGGCTCGGAGTCAGTATACTGTGTCTGAGTGTGATATTCATGTTAAACTACGGCATGGTATCTCAGTGAGCTAGCACTATAAATCGGCATCAGTCCGGACTAGTACAAGCAGCCACACAAACACACACACGTACATGCACGTCGCTATATAAGTGCAATAATCTTGGACGCGATACCCAATTTCACCTCACCTCACCTGGCGCCAGGCGTCGTGCTTCATTTGTTATGAGTTTGAGAAATGAACATGGGGGGAATGGGCCATGGGAATGAGTAATCGTTGGAAAGATGTAACCAAACTTATAAAGGAAAGTATAGCTGTGTCTCACACGTGTATAATAATGATATATTGTATAAGGCAAAAGCAGATTCAACATATCAAACAATGGCAGGTATAATAACGTTAGGAGGTTTCAACAAACGGAGACACCTGTTTGACTTAGGTTTTGGGAATACCATATCAGGGGAATTCCCATTTTTATAATTATCCCGCGATATGCCAAGGAGAGGCACGGGCCACCGAGCCGTGGATACCCGTGCCAAAAAGATGAGATTGGGTTAAATGGCCGAGGGTGTGCAGGTACTAGTGGGCTACTAAGCTGCTAGTTGTGTATACCACAATGCTACCGTTGCCATGGCCACTAGCGTGGCCAACGGCGATTCGCAGCTAGCGCTGCTGGCCTGAGACTGCTACCGCTGTCCGGCCCCCACGGTAGCATATTTAAACGCTACCATTGCTTGGCAACTACCACGCTGCCAAAAGCAGCTACCGCTGCTGGCCTAAGTCAGACTACCGCTGCCCGGCCCCAGGTAGCCGGCCAAAGCAGATCCCACTGCCTGGCCCAAGTAGCAAAACCATTGTGCGACTACCGCCGCGGACCCAACTGTCAGCTTCCGCTTGACAAGACGACTTCCGCCGCCGGGCCCATATACGTGGCAATTGTTTGCCCCAACGTATGTTATTTTACGATTCCCCGGCTGAAAAGTCGGGAAAGACAAGCTTCCCACTGAGAAGCAGGTAACCCCGGAAAGGTTTCCGCTGAAAAGCAGTTAGCTTTAAGCACGAGTATTAATTTGGAAGCAAGTTATTTTGTTACTAGCAGTGTAGCCCACAAGAACCCCGCCACAAAGCACCAGAGTGCTACCCCACACCAAGGGCCACGCGATATGCGGAGATAGCATTGTTGCCCAGCTTGCCTATGTACTGAAAAGAAACACTAACTTGTGGAGATAACATCGTTACTGGCGCAAAACAAGCGCCAGGGCATGCAATAAATTGTCCGTAAACACACACAGTCCTTTGTCACTGAGGTGGAAGCCCTCCCAGGCGTACCATGTCTTGTCTGATGCCAGGATCTGGGGATGTGGCACTATTGTACCGCCGAGCTCTTTGACTCGGTTGGCCAGTTGGCGGTTGATATTCTTCCGCATCCCCTCGATCTTTAGTGGATCCCTGGCATCGTGCCAGTAGCGCCTGGGTAGCATTGACGTATAATAATGATATATTGTATAAGGCAAAAGCAGATTGAACATATCAAACAATGGCAGGTATAATAGCGTTAGGAGGTTTTAACAAACGGAGACACCTGATTGACCTAGGTTTTGGGAATACCATATCAGGGGAATTCCCATTCTATTTTTATAATTAGCAACTCAAGTCAATGCCGGAAATTGTCTCACGTGACTTGGAGTCAATATGCGTTTCTGTCGAATGGAACGTGACCGCTTCTCGGCCAATGAATATAATCGACAGCAATGTATTGGCAATATTTCGGCAGTAAAGTGACAAGTGAAATATATGACATTAGATGCATTGTAAAGCGTACTTATTATACCTGTCTACGTTGCAACACACTCGGTTCCATTCGTCACCACTCGTCCTTTTCCGTAACCTGCTAGAAGATTCAACCATGAATGTTATGTGTGGAAATACGACAAACAAATCAGAATGCGCGTATGACTTAAAGTACTAATGTCAAAGAATCTTTCATGAATAATGTTTTTTATTACGTATGTCTTACATTTAAAAATATACCCAAGATACAATTAAATGTGGTCAATCATACTGCATAATACCGTAAGTCCCGATGTGTTTTAAATAGCATCTGGAATATGTATGATATATAGGGGAAATATACGTGAGTCATTACGCAACGAGTTGACAATTCTTTCAGCTATGCCGGTTTGGAAACAAGTCGCAAAATTGGCCACGAGAGGGGCACCAGTCGCTATTCGGGTTGTCCCGGAATGACACGAATGACTCGGTTCGACCAGACCAGTACTGGCGTGTACGGTGGCTGATTTCTCGTAGGCTGCGATTGAAAGATTAAACATAGCAGTCACTGGTCCTCTTTAGCGAATGAAAGCAAATGGTGACTATTGTGGGTGAGGTGAAATGGGGTTTAAGGTCGCGTCCAAGATTATTGCACTACATGTATTTGCCTATTATATAGTGCTATCTCATGAGATATTAAGCCGCAGTTAAAAATGAACATCCCATTCAGACACAATATGCTGACTCCAAGCCGACCAGTCCTTGCTTTACCCCCTTAATGCCGAGCGACAGGCAGGGTAACAACAAGTACCATCTTTTAACGTATTTTGGTATGACGCGACCGGGGATCGAACCCCGGACCTTCCGCTCTCCGGGCGGAAGCACTACTACTAGACCACGTAGGCTGTCCCCGTCACTCATAAATACAAATTAGGGCTGGGACGGGTAACTAGGGTACTCGGGTCGGGTGGGTACTGAGTAGTACCCGGATACCCAAAGGACTACCCGGACGCGTAGTAAATCACGTGTTTATATTGTTTAATGGTAAAACATATTCAGAACTCTATGGTTACACTATAAGTGACAAATTTCGTTCTGACAATACACACAATCCTTCTGACTTTATATGTTTGCATAATTATATAACTTAAGTCAACTTCAGTGTATGCATGACCAGGTCGGATTATACATGTATCTAAATATATTTTGACAGGCGTATGGTCAAACGTTTCCCAGGCAGACATTTTGTACCCCTCTCTTGTGACCTACAGCGGGTACCCTGTTAGGGTCAGGTACTAGGGGGTGGGTACCCGGGTAGTAAAATGGGACTCGCCCCAGACCTAATACAAATCGTGTAGCTCTGGCATATTTCATGCAATAATTATAACACCAGTTCACATTTTGTTGCTGTAATCGCACACAGTCAAGAATTGGGCACAAAAGAAAGTGTCCAGGTTAGGTCTAACGCAATCGTTTACGTTATATCTGATATATCACGGCGGGATGCTGACTGCTACGTAAAGATACAAACTGATTTTTATGCTTCATACTGAATTCCAGAATGCCGCTACAGTGAGCTGACAACCACCGCCAAGCGTATGGTGGGTGGCTCGGACGTCACTTCGTGTACAACTCCAGGATTCGTACATTTCAAGCCTGATAATTTCCCTGTCCCGAGTTGCTCAGGTATATTGATTGATGAAACGACCATCGCCACGTCCAAGCAATGTGCTGAGAGTTGGCTCGAACCGTAAGTTGAAACAGATACCGACCATGATCATGAGTAAACGTTCCAAGAGCAATGTGGTGGGTGTTGATAGATTTGTAGAGATGATCAGTGATCGTAAGTGTTCATTAAAGTTATATAATAATTGATGAAGAAAACCCTAAAGCTTGAACTTTTACCCTCATGTGACTAAATAATTTACCTATATAAACTTATCTTGATGTAAAAACATTCATTCTAAAAGTTAAAATTGAAATTTGGCTTTTCTTACCACTCAACAGGACATTACTTTTGCAAGACATGTACGCTATTGTCGGGGATTATAACACCTTTCTTGATGGGGAAGATAGCAGTCAACAGCAGATCACTATACCACGATTTACCACTCTCACAGCCTACGGATCCGGGGGTGAGTCACTGCTAGCGTCTACCTGTTGTTTACCGCCATCACAAATAACGGAGGTAAGTCACTGCTAGCGTCTACCTGTTGTTTACCGCCATCACAAATAACGTAGGTGAGTCACTGCTAGCGTCTGCCTGTTGTTTCCCACCATCACAAACAACGGAGGTGAGTCACTGCTAGCGTCTACCTGTTGTTTACCACCATCACAAACAACGGAGGTGAGTCACTGCTAGCGTCTACCTGTTGTTTACCACCATCACAAACAACGGAGGTGAGTCACTGCTAGCGTCTACCTGTTGTTTACCGCCATCACAAATAACGGAGGTGAGTCACTGCTAGCGTCTGCCTGTTGTTGATCACAATCACAAACAACGGAGGTGAGTCACTGCTAGCGTCTACCTGTTGTTTACCACCATCACAAACAACGGAGGTGAGTCACTGCTAGCGTCTACCTGTTGTTTACCGCCATCACAAATAACGGAGGTGAGTCACTGCTAGCGTCTGCCTGTTGTTTCCCACCATCACAAACAACGGAGGTGAGTCACTGCTAGCGTCTACCTGTTGTTTACCACCATCACAAACAACGGAGGTGAGTCACTGCTAGCGTCTACCTGTTGTTTACCACCATCACAAACAACGGAGGTGAGTCACTGCTAGCGTCTACATGTTGTTGATCACCATCACAAACAACGGAGGTGAGTCACTGCTAGCGTCTACCTGTTGTTTACCACCATCACAAACAACGGAGGTGAGTAACTGCTAGCGTCTACCTGTTGTTTACCACCATCACAAACAACGGAGGTGAGTCACAGCTAGCGTCTACCTGTTGTTGATCACTATCACAAACAACGGAGGTGAGTCACAGCTAGCGTCTACCTGTTGTTGATCACTATCACAAACAACGGAGGTGAGTCACAGCTAGCGTCTACCTGTTGTTTACCGCCATCACAAACAACGGAGGTGAGTCACATCTAGCGTCTACCTGTTGTTGATCACCATTACAAATAACGGAGGTGAGTCACTGCTAGCGTCTACCTGTTGTTAACCATCACAAACAACGGAGGTGAGTCACTGCTAGCGTCTACCTGTTGTTAACCATCACAAACAACGGAGGTGAGTAACTGCTAGCGTCTACCTGTTGTTGATCACCATCACAAACAACGGAGGTGAGTCACTGCTAGCGTCTACCTGTTGTTAACCATCACAAACAACGGAGGTGAGTCACTGCTAGCGTCTACCTGTTGTTTACCACCATCACAAATAACGGAGGTGAGTCACTGCTAGCGCCTACCTGTTGTTAACCATCACAAACAACGGAGGTGAGTCACTGCTAGCGTCTACCTGTTGTTGATCACCATCACAAACAAAGGAGGTGAGTCACTGCTAGCGTCTACCTGTTGTTGATCGCCATCACAAACAACGGAGGTGAGTCACAGCTAGCGTCTACCTGTTGTTGATCACAATCACAAACAACGGAGGTGAGTCACAGCTAGCGTCTGCCTGTTGTTTACCAACATCACAAACAACGGAGGTGAGTCACAGCTAGCGTCTACCTGTTGTTTACCGCCATCACAAACAACGGAGGTGAGTCACTGCTAGCGTCTACCTGTTGTTTACCACCATCACAAACAACGGAGGTGAGTCACTGCTAGCGTCTACCTGTTGTTTACCACCATCACAAATAACGGAGGTGAGTCACTGCTAGCGTCTACCTGTTGTTTACCACCATCACAAACAACGGAGGTGAGTCACAGCTAGCGTCTACCTGTTGTTTACCACCACCACAAACAACGGAGGTGAGTCACTGCTAGCGTCTACCTGTTGTTTACCACCATCACAAACAACGGAGGTGAGTCACTGCTAGCGTCTACTTGTTGTTTACCACCATCACAAACAACGGAGGTGAGTCACTGCTAGCGTCTACCTGTTGTTTACCACCTTCACAAACAACGGAGGTGAGTCACTGCTAGCGTCTACTTGTTGTTTATCATCATCACAAACAACGGAGGTGAGTCACTGCTAGCGTCTACCTGTTGTTTACCACCATCACAAACAACGGAGGTGAGTCACTGCTAGCGTCTACCTGTTGTTGATCACCATCACAAACAACGGAGGTGAGTCACTGCTAGCGTCTACCTGTTGTTTACCACCATCACAAACAACGGAGGTGAGTCACTGCTAGCGTCTACCTGTTGTTAACCATCACAAACAACGGAGGTGAGTCACTGCTAGCGTCTACCTGTAGTTGATCACCATCACAAACAAAGGAGGTGAGTCACTGCTAGCGTCTACCTGTTGTTGATCGCCATCACAAACAACGGAGGTGAGTCACAGCTAGCGTCTACCTGTTGTTGATCACAATCACAAACAACGGAGGTGAGTCACAGCTAGCGTTTGCCTGTTGTTTACCACCATCACAAACAACGGAGGTGAGTCACTGCTAGCGTCTACCTGTTGTTTACCACCATCACAAACAACGGAGGTGAGTCACAGCTAGCGTCTACCTGTTGTTTACCACCACCACAAACAACGGAGGTGAGTCACTGCTAGCGTCTACCTGTTGTTTACCACCATCACAAACAACGGAGGTGAGTCACTGCTAGCGTCTACTTGTTGTTTACCACCATCACAAACAACGGAGGTGAGTCACTGCTAGCGTCTACCTGTTGTTTACCACCATCACAAACAACGGAGGTGAGTCACTGCTAGCGTCTACTTGTTGTTTATCACTATCACAAACAACGGAGGTGAGTTACTGCTAGCGTCTACCTGTTGTTGATCACCATCACAAACAACGGAGGTGAGTCACTGCTAGCGTCTACCTGTTGTTGATCACCATCACAAACAACGGAGGTGAGTCACTGCTAGCGTCTACCTGTTGTTTACCATCATCACAAACAACGGAGGTGAGTCACTGCTAGCGTCTACCTGTTGTTGATCACCATCACAAACAACGGAGGTGAGTCACTGCTAGCGTCTACCTGTTCTTGATCACCATCACAAATAACGTAGGTGAGTCACATCTAGCGTCTACCTGTTGTTTACCACCATCACAAACAACGGAGGTGAGTCACATCTAGCGTCTACCTGTTGTTTACCACCATCACAAATAACGGAGGTGAGTCACATCTAGCGTCTACCTGTTGTTTACCACCATCACAAACAACGGAGGTGAGTCACTGCTAGCGTCTACCTGTTGTTGATCACCATCACAAACAACGGAGGTGAGTCACTGCTAGCGTCTACCTGTTGTTGATCACCATCACAAACAACGGAGGTGAGTCACTGCTAGCGTCTACATGATGTTGATCGCCATCATAACTTACGGATGGGGAGTGAAAGCTAGCATCTACCTGATGTTGATCACCATCATAACCTACGGATGGGGAGTGAGTGCTGGCGTCTACCTGACGTTGATCGCCATCACAACTTACGGATGGGGAGTGAGTGCCAGCGTCACTCTGATGTTCACAACCCTCACAACTTGCGGGGGTACATCATTGCGTTATGAGGCCTAACGTCTATGACAGGGCATATATACTGTTATCTCAATCATGGGTTGGTAGATGTCGACCTCAGTAGATGTTGCTCACGAGCGGGTCTAGCAGTTGTAATCATACATGATGACCTATGTCAGAGTACACGTACCGGGATCAAAATAGGGATGTCATTTTGTAAGATTGATCGGACTCTTTTGTTTTGAATTTTCGGATGCTCGTTTCAGAACTGTACCAGATGACACTTCCCAGTGCCATCACCCTAGGAGCGGACTGCAGCCTGCCAGCCTGCATCCCCACTGCCGACATGAACATCGACTGGGACACGTGCAAGGCAGTCAGCCCTGGAGTTGGAGTTGGAGGAAGTTAGTGTTTAGTCTACATGTGTATCGCAACGTAGACACAATTTATGGACAACAACTTCTTTAATACTGTAAAGGCGACGTTTGGGTATATATCCTTATACCGTTGTCAGGCAAGACTTGCTTGACAAAGGTATAAGGATCTATACCGAAACGTTGCCTTTAGACTTGCTTGACAATGGTATAAGGATCAATACCGAAACGTCGCCCTTACAGTATTAAAGAAGTTGTTATCCATAAATTGTGTCTACTTTGTCACCCGTCAACTTCTAAGTATAGTCTATAAAACAATTCAGGTGGTGTATATAAGGAGCGGTCGGGCAGCCTAGTGGTTAAAACGTTCGCTCGTCACGCCGAAAACCCGGGTTCGATTCCCGACATGGGTACAATATGTGAAGCCCATTTCTGGTGTCCCCCGCCTTGATATTGCTGGATAAATGATAAAAGCGGCGTAAAGGCATATTCATTCACTCACTCATGTGGTGTATTGTGAATCGTTCCTGCTATGAGAAAACATGTGTATTATCAACTGGGTTATTCCAAACACTTTGATCTGATTCTAAAGGTACTTAAGACATTCACGTGAACTAGGTCCAATGTATAGGTTTCCGGGGAAGTATCCCGGGCAAATATGTGAAAGATTACTTACCAATGGTGAATAGTGCTTGTGATATCAACGCTCAATCAACACACCAAGAGACAGAGGGTGGTGACTGTTTCTGATAGAAAAGCCAGGTAGTTATATTAGTCAAAGACTTCTGCTTTTTTTTCAGTGCCAAATATTAATGTTCAAGAAGGTTCAGTTACACGAAACACAACATGCACTGGAGATGAGCTTTGCACTACAGGGACAATCGAGACATGTGACGTGAGTTCTGTTGTTCATGGCATCCTTCTTTGTCCTTCTAAATCATTTCTTGACACCGTTGTGACGAACTATGATGTGTCAAACTTAAGGTTTTCACGAAGTATAAACATGATCCCCGTGTATTCCTTCTATATTCAGGGGGCACGGGTGGCCCAGTCGTCTAAGGCGCCGCGATTCGCTGTGCAGAGTTGCGTCCCTTTTGCACGCCAGAAACCTATGATTGTGGGTTCGAATTCCGGTTCGCCCCGATTATGTGCTCGTGGGTTTCCCCGAAGTGGTAAACGTCTGAGACCTGCATCACTTCGGGCTTTCCTCCAACATTAAGCTGACACGCCGCGATATAACTGGAATACTGTTAAAAGCGGCGTTAAACCCAACTCACTCACTCACTCACACCTTCTATATTCATCATTTTCGGTTTTGTCGAACCTCGGATAATTCGAAGCATTTACGAAGGCCCCTTCAACTTCGACACAACGTTGTTTAACTATTGGTTGGATATCCTGGATGTGCCGGAAATAATATCCTGCCCCCTGAAAATATACTTCCCGCTCCACATCTGATTAATAAACAGTGGGCCCTAAGGAACGGGTCGGGTTGTCGGGCTAGGTGACTTGGCTGATTCCGTGTCATCGTGTGCCGAAGGGGACTGTTTTTTTCTGTCAACAGTTTGCCTGTGCTTGCGTAATAAAAAACTGTATTTTACAAACAACGTAGGAGGCAACTATGCTTCTCGTAAAAGGCGACTAACGGGATTTGGTGGTCAGAGTCGCTAACTTGGTTGATGCATGCCATCTTGTCCCAATTGCGTGGATCGGACGTGGAGTATCGTTTATCGTGCGTAGTGTATGTATGGTAGTATTGTACATATACGTTGTTATATTACAGTTTGACCAGGGCGGCCCAATGGTATGCACAGAGGCGGACACATTGGAGATTGTTACAGTCGGTCTCATCAACTCCGGAGAAGGAATGTGCGATGGCACCCTCGATTACAAGATTGAATACGTCAGTCTGCTCTCAGACTCTTCGTACAACCAGTATCTACCCAAATATTGAGTGTAAGACTTCCTGTGTGTACTGACATGCGCAATGTTACCTGTAAATAATGATAAAATGCGTTTGTATGAAACAGTGATTTTTCATCATGCCTTTGCGGTAATCTAATACAAACGAAACGTATACAATCAGCTGGACCATATACAACATGAATATGACTGCTACGTTAGTTTTGACCAGTGTTTGATGACATAATCTTACTGATACATTGCGCTGTCATCCCATACAAGCTGATTTGTCCAAGGACTTTGAGAAATATCACTTGTGTATATGTTTTTAGATCACATGGTGTTAAATTGATAGGTCCTATTTAATAGAATAAAATATATCTTTGGTATCACGATCAGGAGGTTTAAAACATAAGCACGACAAACTCATTCCTCTTCTCGAAGAAATGCTATGCTGTCTTTAGGTTTTATACAAACATGAACCGTGTCATGTTGTACATATTTAAAGCATGGTCCTATTCAATTCAACATCATGTATATCCTTGTATTCTGATAGAACATCAATATGTTGCCACCATATGTCACAGTGATGTCTTACATATGAAAATAAAATATGCATTCAATTTTGTTTTAACGACAGTCTATATTTCAACAGAATATGTACCTACGTGTATGGTAATGATACTTAATACTTTACCAAGACTGGACCGAAAATAATATATAAAATGTTACCAAACAGTTCAATGTATTTCGGAATATATCAGTAACGAAACTTAAACACAAATACTTCAGGTGTTTTGTTATTTTCGTTTGAAAATATAGACTGGTTCCAATCTATAAGACTTTCATGGACACCCGTTGTCTTCAATTATGAAAACTATCCGAAACACAAACCTGAAGACATAAGAGGCCATTACAAATCTATGTCCTAAACATGTTTAGATCTATGTTAGAATCAAAACATGTTTAGAATCTAATCACGTTCGGAAAATATAGATTCTTTGTGGGCATGATTGGTATTTGTGCCAGTAATCTATCTGGTTACACATCTACACATCTACATCTACACATCTATGATGGTGTAGACGAGAAACAGGAGCATTATACTGGACAATATCTACAAAAGCCGAATGGTGCCACTTTGGTTGCATTATTTTTTGTGAAATCTAGATTTCTCGTTATTTCAAATAGTTTCCAGAAATAACGAGAAAATAATCGCAGCAACGAGAAAATAATCGAAGTAACGACAAAAAACACGAAATTTCAGGGTTTTTTAACTATACTTGTAATAACGAGCAAATCATTGATATCACGAAAATATAATCGAAATAATGAAAAAATAAACAATAATTGAAATAACGAGAAAATTTATTTTTTTTAAATAAATATATATGCTACCAAAGTGGCACCATCAGGCTTTCGTAAATATTAACACAAAGTGCTTCCAAGCTAAGAATGACATTTGTAACATGTACCTCTCTTGCATGCTGCAAGATTTGTCAAAAGGACTGAAAACCAATATCCTATGAAAATACGACTTGGTGATTGATAACTTATTAGCTTCAGTATGATCACATATTATTATAGTATTATGATAATATGATATTATTACAGTAATACCCTCTAAAGGCTGTCACACTGATTGTTCACTCTTTCGCCATCATAGATAAAAACTCACTTCAGCTTATCGGAAACAGAGAGTCTGTCGTGATGTCTTCTTGTTGATGTGTTATTCAGCCTTCACCTTAACATACGCACCCCAAGCCTCGTTTTCAAACCGGAAGTGGTGAAGTGTAGGGGTAGGGGAGTAGGGTTGAACGCCGTTTTTAAAAGTATTCCAGTTATGTTACAGTGGGTCAGCTTGATGTCTGAGGAAAGCCCGAAATGATGCAGGTCTCAGACGTTGACCACTTCGGTGAAACCCACGAGCACAGGTTTGGTGCTGACAAACCAAGAAACAGAATTGGTGCGAACCGGGATTCAAACCCCAAATCATAGGTTTCTGGTCTGTACAGGGGAGGCAACCCTGCACAGCGGATTGCGGCGCCTTAGATGCATGCCGTCACAATGAGTTCGTCCCAGTGTGCAGGTTACACAGGCGCACGATAGTTCCGAATTGTCATAAGATATGGCCACACAATAGCGATACATACATCGTGTGAGTAATGTTACCAAATTCTTTTTAGACGGACTCTGCGTCTGTCCAAACTGTCATCATGCAGAAGACAGGTGACTTAAGTCTGTAAATGTAAACTGCGTTTGGTCCAATTTGTATGAGCTCGTTTCAATATATTAGTTAACACCTATTTTTTTTACCAAAATATCCATTTATTAAGGACAAATTCGTGGAATGATTAAATATGTGTTTTGTGTCAGTGCTAATGTTCATCTAGCGCCGATTTCCTTTCTATATTTGACATTACAAATAATTTCATCATCTTTAACGAGAATTTGTTCAAATTATTAGTGACTGTCGCTATTGTTTCGGATCACATCTTTAGTTTGGGACAAATACCCATCTTCTGCACAAAGAAAGTACGAAAGCAAACAGGAGAGACACAGTGAACAACAACCTTTCCTACTTACTTTCGAAGAAATGTATTCCAACACGCCATAGCAATAAGGCTCCCTGCAATAGCCCAGTAGTTGAAATGTTCAAATGTAACGCCGAAGTCCTGGTTTCGAATTCGATTCCCCACATGGTTATAATATGTGAAGCCCATTTCTGATGTCCCTTGCTGGATATTGTTAGGAGCGGCGTCAAACTATACTCACTCATATCAATAATGTCTGATTTGTCCAATTAATGAAGAAACCAATAATCAAATTTTTCAATAAAAAAAATAAAAATGAAACATGCAGTGTAACAGTAACCGGGTGACCTAGTGACCTGGTGACTCGCTTTTACCAACTACCGGACTTACTAATTCTACCTTCATTGATGCATTCCTTTCCACCAGTTCCATCCAACAAAAGAAGGGCGACATATGCACAATACGAGCTATTGTTTATTTACGAGCGTCTACACAATAAATCTGCATGAACATAAAGCGTGTTGTATAGTACACGAATTCTGGTGAGACATGACGTAGATTCCCGTCCCGTGGAGATCCTATGATAAAGCCTGGGGCAGAAATTTACAGAATGCGTTCACTGAATAGCGATCAAAAGCCGCGGAGCTAAGTGATAGAGGGTTGACGCGCACAATAGATAAATACTTTCGCCTACAAAGCAACGCGTTGTCTATTGAGACACAAAAACTGTACAGGTACATTCTCACCAGTAGCAAATCGCCGAACTGTGTGGCAATGATTAATCGTTCAGGGGGTCTACTTGAAGGGTATCTACCCAACGCTGTGTTGACTAAACCTCACGTTAAGATAGCTATCACAAGAGGGACGTCGGTTTCGGCTGGGGGAAGAGTTGCTAACAGAGAAAGGATATCGACTCGTAATTACTTTTTATACCTTTGGATTTTGGTTGATTGGTGTGGATTTTCTACCTCCTTGAAACGTTTACCCATTGCGGGTGTCCCCTCGACGTGGTGAATGGGTGAGTAGAGTTCTGGCTCTATGATGAGTAACCATCCGGTTGTCAAGCTGGGTCCTGTCTCATCTATTTCATCCTTCTACGAGCTGTCGGCGCCTCTCATTGACGGGCGAGTGGACCAGTTTAAGGGGTTTGAGGGGCGGCTGACGTTGGTTGTCAACATCGCGACTGCTGACTTCAACACAAGGAACGAACTTAAACAGGTGAGAGGGGAGCTTGTGGGGGGTCTGTTATCTATGGTATGCTCACCTGAACATGTGCAGTATTCGTACTGTAGGGGTCCATGTCTGAGTGTTTGTTTGTTGTTTAGAGCCGCACTCAGCAAATTTCAGCTATATGGCGGCGGTCTGAACCAGACAATCCAGTAATTGACATCAAAAGCATCGGTCTACACAGTTGGGAAGCGATGACATGCATCAACCAAGTCAGCGAGCCCGACTACCCGATCCTGTTTGTCGAAGCATGGGTTGCTGGATACCTCTTCTAACCAAGATCTTCACGGGTCCTATTTCTGAGTGAGAGATTGGGGGTAAGCGCCGCTTTGAACGGTATTTCAGTTATATCACGGCGTGCTAGCTGCATGTTCAGCTGAGTGAGGGAGTTGGAACCACATGAGCTAGAGCCCGAACATTCAAACACAAGATACTGTCTGTTATCAGGCTCCTACAGTAGGGATTGTAGCTCCATTGTCGACCACTAGTTTGAGTAAATGAACGCCGTTTTTAACAGGATTTCAGTCATATCACGGCGTGTCAGCTTGATGTGGTGGGAAATCCCGAAGTGACGCAGGTCACAGACATTTGCCACTTTGGTGAAACCCACGAGCACGGGTATGGTGATGAGAAACCTACAAACGTAATCAGGGTGAACCGGGATTCGAGCTCACGAGTATAGGTTTCGGGCACGCCTAAGGGACGCAAATCTTCACATCACAGTGATTTCCCAGCGCCTAAGACGACAAGGTCATCCACGACTCTATGTCCCAGGCTTCTGTGTATACAGTAGTCAGACAGGTTACACGCTCGACCACCCGACCCCCCTAGCCGGTTCTTAGGGATCCATCTTTCAATATTCTGGGATTTTCCAGGAGCTGCTTCAAAACACGAACCTTTTTGCACAACACATTTCTTTCAGGTCATTCATCATATCCAGTGACTAATTTATGTGTTTTTTTCTGGATAAAACCTGAGGCAAGTTTTCTTTTTAAAAACTTAACTTTTCTTACTCGGATCCCAGCCTCCTATATCTACCCTTCCCATCACCCCTCTTAATATCAAGTGGGTTTTTTCCGTTACAAGCAAGTGTAACCCATAATGGTCACATGCTTGTAGAAAAAATCCCCAACCCCTCCCCACCACCACACTCCCTCTGATAAAACAATCTCATTTCGGAAACTGATTTTTCAACGTACTTTCCTACGGTGATCGATACCCGCCACTGGTGAGATCATTTTTCACTGTATGCCTCCATATTTTAACTGGCGGCCGCCAGATACTTCCACTGGTGAGATAAAATATAGAGGTTTACAGGGGAAAATGATCTCACCAGTGGAAGTATCTTGCGGCCGCCAGATAAAATATGGAGGCATACAGTGAAAAATGATCTCACCAGTGGCGGGTATGGGCCACCGTACGTTCCCGATAAAGATTAACTGAATATATTTTATATCCACAGCTGAATGAACTGTTGTCTGCATACTCTTCTAAAGGACTCAACATCTTCGCCTTCCCATGTAACCAGTTTGACGGTGAACCTTATGAAAACGATGAAATATTACCCATCATGCACTACGTTCGTCCCGGGGGAAAGTTTGAGCCTCGTTTTAAAATCTTTGCTAAGTGCGAAGTTAACGGTATGAAGGCTTCGCCTCTGTTTGAGTATCTGAGGATGAAATTGCCTCGACCTGACAATGATGATGACATCATAATATCACGTGAGAAACAGGTGCCATGGACGCCTGTAAAACGTCAAGACATTGGCTGGAACTATGAGAAGTTTTTAATCAACTATGACGGCCAGCCAGTCAGGCGGTACACGCACAAGGCTGATATAGAGCTAATTAAAAAGGATATTGAGCATTTCCAGAAGAAAATACCAAGGACAGTCCGGGAACAGCACGGGCTGCATTGAACAACGCTATGTTATTATAATATATGCCGCGAAAACAACACCTACATCTCAGAAACTTGCCGAAATAGCATTGTTAGTCCCCTCGGCCTCGTTTCAGAACTTGAACGTAGGAATATGCGACTTTAAGTCGATGTTAAGATATTTACGACAGCCCAATCTTTGTGTCTCACAGAACATGTCAAAGCAGTTTACGAGGCTATATTGTGCGGTAAGTGTAAGAAAGTAATTATCTGATTTCCAAAAGTTCGCGGATTTGAATTAATTCCGCTAGACTTATTATTTGTTTTTGACGTTATTCGGAATGTTTCTCAGTTAAGTAAAATGCATTAAGAACTGTTTAACAACCCCTTAACTTGAGTCCACTCAAGTGACGGGCGGCGGCCAATGTGACATAGGGGGTGGGGAGGAGGGGGCAGAGGGCAAGTCGTCTGAGAGTTCGTTGTTCTGGCAAGAGAAACAAGAAATGAAAGACGTGTTTCGGTCCAATTTTCTCTCAGAGTCATAAATTCTGTTGTCAGAAGGAGGTAGGTCGCTATGAACCACGGCGGTTCCCAAAACTTACGATGGATCGGACAAACCGGAACTTATAGTGTCAGCATCGAACCACCAGGTAATAAATCCACACATGCATTCTAGGACATTATTCTATTGTGTGCTGTTTAGAGAGATGTGCCTGTTGAAAGAAAGAATTCGACAATTGTCGCTGATGGTCCAATAAATGTCATATTATCAAATGGGTATACCGTTTAACCAATGTCTTCTGTCAATATGAATACACATGTATAAATGACTGTGTTCCGTGGCTTAGATGCAGTGTAAATTATGTGAATAAATATTTATCAAAAGATTTTTTTTTGTTTAAGCTATGCATTAACTTATATCTTAACTGAGAAAGTCCACACTTATTCACACTGGCACGGTAAGATGGTAGCTTAAAGCGTTAGCTCATCACGCCAGTACCCTGGTTCTATTCCCTACATAGGTACATTTGTAACCCATTCGTAGTGTGCCCTGCCTTGACAGTGTTAAACCGGTGTTAAACAATCTCTCCCACTCACTCACTCACTCACTTACTCACTTACTCACTCACTCACTCACTCACTGTACCGTTGTTGATACAAAATGTGAATACCCACTTTGAGACAACAGAAAAAAACGACGAAGCACATACAATTTAGCCGCAAGCATCTACATTCCGGCGGCCTGTAAAGAATCAAATCCCGGCCAGGAAAATCAGTGAGTGTCAGGATAAGCAACGATCACACGATCGGTGCAAGAAGGCCCATAATCAGGCAGATCATACATTTTACCCACCTGACCCTCATAAGTCTGCTCTAAAACAATGGGTGACAGGGGCCTATCTACCAAGGAATCACGAAGGGCTTACAGACATTTACGAACGAAAAATACTGTCCACAAAAACCTGAGTTCTGTTCCTATCAATAACATGTTTCAATCATATTTCGTTGGGGGTAAATACATAAACTTTAATGTTCTGCATGTGAATGCATCAACGAGTCAGTGAGTGAGTTTGGTTTAACGCCACTTTTATAAACAGCGCTTTTCCAGCTATGTCAGAGTGTCAGCTTAATGTGGGAGGATTGGCTGAAGTGAAGAGACGTTTACCACTTTTGTGAAGACCAGGAACACGGGTATGATGCTGACAAATCTAGAAACATAACCAGGGCGAACCGGGATTCGAACCCACGATCATATGTTCCTGGAGTATCCAAGGGACGCAACTCGGCACAGCGAATTTAGACGACTTAGACGGCACCCTCAAATGCATCAACGAGTGGATATTTTGCATTATAATGACCCTTGAAGTTACTCTACTTGGGGCCCAGTAAAAACTGAGTATACACACTCGTCTGCTGGTATGGGCATAAAGATATAAATATCAAGTGGACCCTGTCGTGTCAGCATTTTATGTGGCAGAATCTGGTCGATTATGAAATACCACTTTCTAGTCCCAACTGTGTCACGACTTCAGTCAAGGGAAATATGACAAGCCTATAAAAAGTGTGGGATGCATGCAGGCACACGCACCACAGCAGTAGCCAATTAACCTTGGAAGGCCGGTGTGTTACACACCAATTGTGGATATATACGGCGAGTTCATGTACAAGTAGTGTATGCTTCTAGCATACATATAGCTCATGATCTACATATTTCACATGATGTCCCCTGCCAACACACAGCTTCTGGTCTACACATTGCTATCTGGCCTACACGCAGCTCCTGGTCAACACATTGCCATCTGGCATACACGCAGTTCCTGGTCTACACATTGCTATCTGGCCTACACGCAGCTCCTGGTCAACACATTGCCATCTGGCCTACACGCAGCACCTGGTCTACACATTGCTATCTGGCCTACACGCAGCTCCTGGTCTACACATTGCTATCTGGCCTACACGCAGCTCCTGGTCTACACATTGCTATCTGGCCTACACGCAGCTCCTGATCTACACATTGCAATCTGGCCTACACGCATCTCCTGGTCTACACATAGACACTGGACTACACGCAACTCCTGGTCTACACATAGCTTGTCAACATACGGAGCCAAGCCTACATGTTTCATTGAGTGAGTTAGTGAGCGAGTGAGTATGGTTTTACGGCACTTTTAGCAATATTCCAGCAATATCACGGCGGGGGTCGCCAGAAATGGGCTTAACACATTGTACCAATATCGGGAATCGAACCCGGGTCTTCGGCGTGACGAGCGAACGCTTTAACCACTAGGCTACCCGACCGCCCCCTACATATTTCATACTGCTACGGTGTACATACATGTATGTCAACTGCATACAGCGCATTCTCTACCAAAAGATCCCAGCATACACAAAACTCCCAGCATACACACAGCTCCTACCTTACATGCAGCCAACATACAGCTCCTAGCAAACATACAGCTTCTAACCAGCATACAGCTCCTAGCCAACATACAGCTCCTAACCAACATACAGCTCCCAGCAAACATACAGCTTCTAACCAACATACAGCTCCTAACCTACATATTCAAATATGCAATACTGTTACGAAATGTATAATTATGTTAACTATACTTTGAAGTGATGACATATGACAACGAGAAGCCATAATTAATCCTCCTACATTGGTACACAGATATTTATATAGAGAGAAATAGTATATATGTATCTCGTCACTTCCTGACCAACTTGGCATTCACATCCCTAGCTCTTCTTATCAACATAGAGCACACGTCCCACATTGAGCTCCTAACCAACGTAAACCTCATATCAACATGGAGCTCCTAATTAACGTACAGTTCATATCCACATTGAGCTGATAACCAAGGAAGAGCTCATATCCACATGGAACTCCTAACCAACGTTCAGCTCACATCCACATGGAACTCCTAACTAACGTAGAGCTCATATCCACATGGAGCTCATTACAACGTTGAGCTAATATCCACATGGAACTCCTAACCAACGTTGAGCTAATATCCACATGGAACTCCTAACTAACGTAGAGCTCATATCCCACATGGAGATTCTAACCAAGGAAAACCTCATATTCCACATGGATCTCCTAACCAACGAGGAGCTCATATCCACATGGAGCTCCTAACCAACGTGGAGCTCATATCCACATGGAGATTCTAACCAAGGAAAACCTCATATTCCACATGGATCTCCTAACCAACGTTCAGCTTATATCCACATGGATCTCCTAACTACCGTAGAGCTCATATCCACATGAAGCTCCTAACCAACGTTGAGCTAATATCCACATGGAACTCCTAACTAACGTAGAGCTCATATCCCACATGGAGATTCTAACCAAGGAAAACCTCATATTCCACATAGATCTCCTAACCAACGAGGAGCTCATATCCACATGGAGCTCCTAACCAACGTGGAGCTCATATCCCACATGGAGATTCTAACCAAGGAAAACCTCATATTCCACATGGATCTCCTATCCAACGTTCAGCTTATACCCACATGGATCTCCTAACTAACGTAGAGCTCATATCCCACATGGAGATTCTAACCAACGTACACCTCATATTCCACATGGATCTCCTAACCAACGAGGAGCTCATATCTACATGGAACTCCTAACCAACGTGGAGCTCATATCCCACATGGAGCTCCTAACCAACGTTCAGCTTATATCCACATGGAACTCCTAACTAACGTAGAGCTCATATCCACATGGAGCTCCTAACCAACGTTGAGCTAATATCCACATGTAACTCCTAACTAACGTAGAGCTCATATCCCACATGGAGATTCTAACCAACGTAAACCTCCTATTCCACATGGATCTCCTAACCAACGAGGAGCTCATATCCACATGGAGCTCCTGACCAATGTGGAGCTCATATCCACATGGAGCTCCATATCAACATGGAGTTCCTAACCAACGAAGAGCTCATATCCACATGGATCCAACGTATAACTTATTTCACACACGTAACTCCTTATAAACACAGAGCTCCCAACTAACAAGGAATACGTCAATAACAAGGAGCTCATATCCGACATTTGGCTCATTACCTAAACGGAGATTCTACATTGTGAGATTGTATGAAAAGGGACAGAAGTGTTTAATTTAAGGAACTTGGATACATTCATCGTCTCAGCTGCAGCCGGGAGTAGAAGTAGAAGTCAGTAGTTGTTTCAGGGGTTTCGATATATACTGTGGAGAAATGGAGGCCCGCCGTTTTAGTCTCATATCAGCTTGTGAAGATAGTTTCAGACAATGAATCCTTCTACCCTGTCACATGAGGATCATAGCGAAAGATTATATACTGATATGAACCTTAACCATTAACACTAACATGCACAAGTGCTGTTGAGGTAACTGTTTAGCAGTCATCGGAAGTGCCAACTCTGGGGTTACATCGATGACGTCACCATTTCGTGACGTCACATAATGCACTGTTAGTATTTCTTTTGATGGTCCTATATTTTTCTGTAACAGTAAGTTATTGACTATGCTTTGTAACATACCATGTTGTGTCTACACGGCGGGAATAGGGCAACACATTGTAATACAATTTTTATTCATTGAGACTATGAAGTATGGTGGTATGAGTCTTTGGCGCCATTCGGTATATCTTCGACTTTTGGTTACAGTAGTACAGATAGTGAATGTGTGTCTGTGTTTAATTCTCTTATTTATTTTATTAGTTTCTGTGTTTGTTGTTTAACGCCGCACTCAGCAATATTCCAGCTATATCACGGTGGAATGTACATAATTGAGTCTGGACCAGACAATCCAGTGACTGATATCATGAGCATCGAATTGGGATACGACGACATGCATCAACCAAGTCAGCAATTCTGACCACCAGATCCCGTGAGTTGTCTCCTACGACAAGCATAGCCTTCTTTTACAGCAAAGCATGTGTTGCTGAAGACCTATTCTACCCCGGATCTTCACGGGTTGAAAGGAGCTAATGGGCAGAACTTCTGCATATTAAACATACAACTTAAAATATATTTCGATACTACCGGAGTCCTCCCCCCTTTTACCATTGTACATATATACAGTACGAAGGAGTAAATATACGTTACTGGTCGCATTGATCGAAAGCTACTCAGCTCGGCATTCATTGACAAAAGTGATGTTCAGATACGATGCTTGAGCAAACTTCCAGTTAAAATATTTGAAGCATACATAAAATCACGCCCATCGGCTTATTTTCTGTAAACAATCGTATGGTGCTTCGACTTGTCGCAGTCAGCAATATACCAGCTGAATCACAATGACATTGCAAGAATTGGGCCAGGAATCTTACAAAATTGTCAATAAAACTTCACCTAGGTGTATTCAAAATTTGTCTAATGCTGCCGACCTACTCCCTCGGGCAGTTGAGATCCCCCGGGTAACAGAGTTGGAGGTGAATTCATTGGTAAGGAGGCCACCCAGATTTTCGAAAAGCTGATTCATGTAGAGATTTCTGCCGGCTTCGGAACTGGTCAGTCCTCATAAGCAAAAGCTCTATATGAAAATATGATACATGATTCTCCTAAATGTCCTTTTATTATCCTTCTAACTGTTTTACTGTAAATATGTTTTAACTTCCAATCATTTCAGATGTTATATGTTTTGTCTCTTGACCTGTTTTGTCGGAATAATAGCTTTAAAGTGCTAATGTTATAATGTTGCCTGTTTAACCGTCGTTTAATAAAATAACGTAAACAAGAGCCGAGTGTGGAACGCCGTCAGGTAGAATACTATGTAAACAGTCATGTGTCTGAAACCCCAACCTAATTTAGTAGCGTACCATTATATATTCTGGATTTTTGTGACAGAGAGAAGATTTTCTCTATCACTAACTCAAGACACAAACAGTTATTGTCTCTGAAAGGAACCAAAGATTTTTTTAATGGAACCAAAAATAACTACACGTCTGGTGAATTTATTTCCTTAATATTTCAAATTATTATCCCCACGTTTTCCTTAGTACATTATTTTGATTATTTCGTCGAGCCACTTTTCTCACTCGTCCAGTTCGAGGTGTGGTTTCAATGGATCCTCGCTGTTGATAACATCGAATATATGTGTAGACAGTGCATCTATGATTCTTGAATAAATATGGCCTCTTAAAGATTTCTAAAATTATCTTTTTGAAGATTCGGCCAATCTTTCGGATTTTCTGTTCGTCCGGAAATGGTCTCAAACATGAAGCAGACGATACATTACGTCACGTGACAATCACGTGACATCTCCACCGCCACGTTACTTAATATGGTGCAAATAAACGACCATTTTTGTAACTATTTTATTGATAGAATAGGAGAGGGATGTGTAGGAATCACAGAAACGTCCGACTTCAAACCACTGGTCGACAGCATAATATAAGTTTCTTGAAATAGCACTACAATGATGAAGCGACACGCCATAGGCTCTGTGAATCCGTGTCACTTGCTAACGTGATACACAAGGCTAAGTGTTTTATAATACCTGGTTTGACTGCTGGCATACATTATACAATAATCTGCTGCAGGTATTTGTTGTGAGATTAGCGAGTGTAGGTGAGAAAATACCCAACCATTGTAAATTATCACTAATGTTTATTGCTTACAAAGATCAATCGATGTCTGTCTTTATAACGGCACGGATTGAGGCTGCGTGTGGAATCCCCGCTCCTAAAATTGAAACGGAAAATATCTTACGATGTTAAAATTATATAATTCACTTTAAATCAAGGCTACTTGACACGCCCCCACTAGACATAATGTAATCTCTACCAGTATTGAGAATTATATATACAACAGAGGCCTCCCAGCAACTAATAAAACGATCGCGTATATATTTTCTGTACCCGGCCCTTAGTACAAGTAAAGGTCTCCGCAGTCGGAATATAATGCCACATAATCAGCTGGACAATATACATGTATTTGAATCCATCGACTCCAACTCAATACTTGTGGGCGTGACAGCAAACACTGAGCGACGACGAGAACATTTACTCCTAATCAGCCGCACAACAGCTGGGTTTTCCGAGGTGCGACCATGTTTTACATACATCATTAGAATCCATTAAAAGCATCAGCTCTCAGTATGGTGGTCCCTTGGAGACGCGACATGGGGTAATGGATACTTCATTCTACCATTCACCACGGGACATACCAGCGGCTTCTTGAGAACCTTATGTAATACATGTTCTAAATTTGACAAAAAAACGTGTTCGTTTGAAAATATGCTTTATGTCCGATCATATGTTGTCATTGTGTTGCAAACTTTCTATTTTTTATTTGGTATTGCTTAAAACGAGAAATTAAATACTATCAAGGGACCATTCCGCGAATCTATCTATCGTACAATTTCTGTCTTAACGGAAACGAGGAAAATTCATGATCAACAACGTAAAATCAATAGAATGTGTATGATAATATGTTTATGATCCACACTTTATTATAAACTGAAGTGAACAACTGCTGTCTTTTATACTGATACAATAAATACAAACACAGTCGCTATTCCTGAGTGCGGAGTTAAACAACAAACAAACAAACACAGTCCCACGAAAAGTAAATGCAACAACAATTATCTTTATTTCGTCAAAAGTAGTATTTGCATTATGTAAACAATGCAGTAGAGCGTAAACAATGCCTATTATTTGAATGCTCACATATTGTTTGGTTATATAACCTACATGTACTTTTACATATGGATATCTGTCGCCAAGGCACGGAACTCATAAACATCTCATTCATACAGATACTCCGAAATTTTCGAGTTGCGAGTATTTCTTTTTATCATCCAAAACTGGCTCCCACAGGAGATATCGCTTGGGTGAGATCGAGCGATATCTACATTGTAGATATCGCTGCAATGAAATTGCATCACAATTGTTTGCAGACCATTGTGACGTCCTTATTCATATCAAATATATTAACACTAAAACTGCTTTTAACTTTTATCAACGAGTTGTGCCATATTTTATGTCAAAAGACACGAGGGTGAAATTCTACTTATAATCCAAAATCATTCTTCCAACATTTTTCAGTTTGTAAACAGTAATAAGCAGTGTCTTCAGTGTGAAGAGTACAGCCATCCAGCTTCAGTGGCAGAGAGATTAGCATCTTCCCGAGACAAGAGCGTTAACTGACTATAAAAGTCCAGTTTCCACCCTTGCCGAACTAGGCTGGCATTATGGAGTTACATTTTGGCTGGACTAACGAGTCTATGCATGGTCTAATCAAAATCGCGCAACGAAATCGAAATCCGGTTCGTAAACTGCCGTGCAGATTTAGGTCGATTGCAGGATTTACAAAGCATGTGCACCGCCAACTCGTTGCTAACAGATATTTTCCAAACCTTTTCATGTTTTTAATCAAGATGCTCACGTGATTTAATACACTTCGCGATGTAAGATCCGTTTTATCACAATATAGATCTTGATTATCGATCAGATCGTCTTGACTGGGCGCCGCCATTTTGTTTGAAACAAATGCAAGTGATGGAATCGGATTGGTCGATAGGAGAGGCTCAGAAGGGACATAACTCATAATAGCCACTGGTGGCGCTACGATCGAGCCCAGGAATTCCAGTCAAGTTCGGCAAGGGTGGAAACTGGACTTTTAAAGTCAGTTAACTCTCTTGCCTCGGGAAGATGAGAGATTAGTGATGTTATTTGATTGTGACGTCATGGTAACCGATGACGTTACAGTGGTCTACTAAGAATTGTGATTCAATTTCATTATAGATGCGGAAACCTGTTTTGGGTGATACAGTCATGTGTATATATTTATTACCAACGAGGGCTATCATTACGGTTCATAAAAATCACATGTGCCCTAGGGTCATACCACGTCACGAGACAACAGTGTATTGTTTCCGTCATCCGGACGGCATTGTTGACGTCATTCCAATGTTATTGTGACGTGAGGTCGGCATGACGTCACACTAGAAACGACGACCAAGCTAAAGATTGTTGACGTCATCGTTCCGCTGCTGTTGCGACGTGCTGACCTTATAGGTCAACACTAAAATTCGTCTCTGTATGTAGACATTTTCTTCAGTAATAAATAGAACATTATATTACAATTATATGTTCATGTCATACTATGTTAACGACTCTCGTATTTCACTCGCTCGGGAAATACCGGAATTTAGACACTCGTGTGGTAAACACAGTATGATATGAACACTTATATAATATCCTCTATATACTATTTATATTTCCTCTATAACATTTCTCACAGTGAACAGTCTAGAAATTAAATTAAATCCCAGAAATGATCTAAAATCGTTTTATATACAACAATAAACACTAGGTTTACTGAATATACTTATAACTGACAGCTAATCTATCCATATGATTGTCTAAGGGTGAATTCAAATCAACTTGACATCAGTTATGAATGTAATATAACCCTTCGGTGGTTTAAATATAAATCTAAATACATATCCAATACAATGATGATAACATTCTATTTGGGTGTGATTCAATATCGATCAATAGTTCAATCACGTAAGTAGAAAATGATTCACACCCAATGATAATCCCAAATATTATATCCCCAGCGATAGGGTTGTCGGGTCGTCGGCTCCACTGTGATCGTTTAATCAATAACTAAAATTGTGACACGCGCTTTTATGAAAGTTTGCAAAAAAAAATCAATAGATTTGTGTATCGCTGGTCCCCTTCCGTCTACCAGCCATAAGCTGTTTATTCACTGAGTCGTCGATGCGTGTAACCCCGCTCGCCGCAAGTCTACCGCTCGCTAGATATAACAGTAGATCTGTCGGTCAACTCGCTTAGCGTTCATAGCAACCAATCACAGCCAAGCTCTAGGTGAGCGCGTTAGTTCCTATGATTGTTCGGCGATATGAGCAACATGGCCGAATAGTGATTTGACACACAAAACGACAGTCGTTGTTAGATGCTGTGGATGGATGCGACGTCGTTGATGTTGTGACAGTCAGATGAGGTAGGTGTCATCACAGTGTAAGCGTTGAGAGGTATTGAAGGTCAAAGTACCACACCAGCCCGGGGCTTTGTTGACATCGGTTGTTTATTACCATCGAACCCCTGAGCAATTAGTAAATTCCCTGAGAAACTCTCTAGACAGTTTGTCTAAGACACTGCTTGTATGGGTTGCAACGGGAGTTCGTTTTGCTCGATTTGTTCACAGAGGACTCGCTGTGATTTAAATACTTGTACATTTTTAAACCATTTGTAAACTTAATTTAATAAAATACCTTTAAATAAGATATGGGATACCAGTCGAGTTGTCATATATTGTGAGAAATTGTTATTGTATATATGATCAGCAATTATCTTAGGAGGGACCGTTTGCGTGGATGAATGAGCTGTTATGATAATTGTTTTAACTTTTGTTTTGTTATATCATGACAGTTCAAATTTAATGCACCATTTGCTATGTGACAGTACAAGTCAATATTTGATTTCTCATAAATGTCTGAGAAGTTATTGATGATAATAGTCTATATATCATACTGATTATATATGTTATGATTATTGAATCAAATGAATCTTTAGGTACGTTTGTTATCAAATACACAAGTGATAAAATTTCAATGAGTATAATTCATTGAAGAGACACAATTATGGCTGGGACGGGTAACTCGGGTACTCAGGTCAGGTGGGTACTGAGTAGGACCCGGGTACCCACAGAACTACCCGGACCCGTGGTTAGTCACATGATATATTGTTTAAAGACAAAAATTATCTTGAACTACAAGTCACTAATGTTCGCAGTTCTTTCTGACTACTACGCCTATTCCTTCTGACTTTTATATGTTTCAATAAAAATAAAACTTCAGTCAACTTCAGTGTATACACCAGATCATTTTATTTGTGTGTCTAAACACATTTTGCCAGGGCTACGGTCAAACTTTTCTCATTTGGACAGTCTGTACCTACCTCTTGAGATCTACAGCGGGTATCCGGGGAGGGTGGGTTAATAGGGGGTGGGTACCCGGGTAGTAAATTTGGACTCGTCCCAGCCCTAACACAAATACTGACATTTTTTAAAACTTTTATGGAATAGTGTAGTGAAAAAAACCAGCATAAATGGATAAACGACAGTATTCACTTGATAAGGGGGAAGAACTAACGTCATAACAAAGCATAAAAGAAGTTGTTATCCATAAAAAGTGTCATGTATTCACGATCTTTCAACTTCTAAATGCCAATCAAAGACTTATGTTTGTAGCATTGAAATAACATGGTAAAGATTTATTTGCTATGATCCATTTTGCACCACTCTGAAATTGATAGCACACAGGCATTTTACTGATGTAACTAAGATTTCATAAAGGAAAATGTTATGTTTGTGTCATTTATATTGAATCATTTCTCAATGGATTGCCTTGTAATCAACAATATTGATGTGAATATGATTATGAATATGGTGCTGATGTAGTACCAACACTCAACACAACAGACCTCACACTAGGGAACTATCACTGTTACAGTGGAAATCAATACAAGTAATCATATTGATCTCCAATAATCAAGATCATAAACTCACACTGATTGAAGAAACCGGGTTGCTATTGGGATTCATTGATTTTATCAAATACAATGTGTACAATGTGGGATTCTGAAAAAAATAGTTATGCTTCAGACTGTTTATAAAAAAAGAAAAATTGTCTGCCATAAAAGACAATTGTTCCAAGATGCTTTTGATAAAGTATTTGGGTTCATTGTTTTAGTTAAAAAAGATATCTGGTTTTGCAGCTATAGCTGAAAAAATATCCAGTCCCGATTAAAAACTCCCTGCGTTTGTCAGGGGTAGAGGGAATCTGGAGTAAGGTATGGGGTGTGAGGGGGTATGTCTTTGAGGGACTCAGGGGGAGGGGGTATTTGGATCTGAGGGAATTGGAGTGGAAGGAATGAGGGATTTTGGGGTGAGGGGGGGTACATTGGCCATGGACAGATGGAATAAAGGAGTGAGGGGGGAGGTAGGGGGTTGGGGGAGGGGAACATGGGCCATGGACAGATGGAATAAAGGAGTGAGGGGGGAGGTAGGGGGTTGGGGGAGGGGAACATGGGCCATGGACAGATTGAATGAAGGGAGTTGGGGGTGAGGTGGTATGAGGGTGGAGGGAATTCGGGGTGGAATGGGGGTATGTAGGCCATTGCCGGTTGGAATCAAGGTATCAACTTCATGCTTTACTGAGAGAATGGATCTTGAAAAAGTGGGCGGTCATCAATTATACTGTAACAAATGTTATATTTGGAATAACACTTTCTGAGTAAAGTACAGATTCTCGTTCGTTTTGGGGGGTTGAGTCCCGTCCAGGATTCGAACCCACACTGCCAGAGTGAGGCACCTAATTGCCAGCACACAAAGTCAGCAATCTAACCCACTCAGCCACCGAGGCTTCCATAAAAATGAAAATCCGACATCTGGTAGTCTAGATCATGTACTTTGTGTACCCCTCTGACAAGTATAAATTGGCACGGCTCCCATGGCCGAAAGCTATGAACATACAATGCAATTTAGAAAGTGGTCAAGTGTAACAAATGTTGGCACTCTGGCAGTGTGGGTTCGAATTCTGGAAAACTGGGAAACAGCCACGTGGTGGATTATAAAACCATTTGGAGAGACAGCCAAGAAATTACAATCGGGTGGTATAAGACACACGTGAATAAATAATTCCTCCCATCTACATGATGGCTGGTCAAATAAGCAACTATGCTAGGTTTTAGCATTATCATCCTAATCCATGAACTGAAATGTCAAATATTTGTGCTTCATGACATCTTGTGACGCCGTGTCAGTGTCAGGAATGTTATAAAGCCATCAAATATTGACTTTATCAAATGTCATACCGACACAACAAATTCTGTTTGTGAAATTGGAAGTAAACAGAGTAGGCACAATGGAAAATAATCAATGAACCATTTTGTAATTTGAATCAGAAAATAGACAGACTTAGTATTGTATTTTGATTAACTTGTATGTTGGATAATATAAAGCCCCTTCAGTCTCAATTAGACAGACAATTAGTTTCTTTTATGTCTTAATTATACAAAATATTGATAATTCACGCATGATGTATTAGAATAATACTTTCTGGTAGATCTGCTATCTGGATTCCAGATAGGAATAGAGGTCCCCAGGAACATACCGGTATGCTTTGTGCAACAGGCAACAAACGGGATCGGTTGGTCAGGCCCGCTGACTTGGTTGATTGCATTTCTTTGTATCCCAATTGTGTGCATCGATGCTCATGATGTCAATCATTGGATGATCCAGATTTGATATTTACAGACCGCCGCCACATTGCTGGTATATAGCTGAGTGCTGCAATCTCATTAAAATCAGATCTCAGTTCTCACTACCGCTAAACAAAGATCTGAGGACATACCATTACAGGTCACGTCAGACCGACCTTGCGTGAACTTTGATCAACCAATGGAATGACCAGTCAGAAGGCAGCTTTCTTTTGCTTTACGGCACTAATTTCAAATTGGCGACTATGCTTTGAAACATATTTTGACAAATTCTCGATTACAAATTTGAAACCTGAACAAAAGAACATTCTGGAATGGCTTATAGGTGGTCTAGATTGTATGGATTCAGTCGTTAAACACGTAACTATTGTTCGGAAAACCCCATGTTAAAATTATCGAGGTTGCATGATTAGAAATCACATTCTGACTGTCACTTTTATAATCTGGTAATTAGTCGGATGAAAGGTCGTTCTTATGTGACCCCTAATGGGATGTCTTCAGATCTTTGTTTAGCGATAGTGAGAACTGATTTTAATGAGACAGCTGAGTGCTGCTTCAAACAACAAACAAACAACAAACAAATGTATCAAAGGCTCAGCAATGGCAAGAAAATGTTAATTTGAATGCACTTTTTTGCATAAGTTGCTGTGGACGTATGTTTTGACCCGAAATCGGCACAGGTTGCATGTAAAGAAAAAAGGGCGACAGATAACACAAAGTGATTTTCTTTGTCAGTAAGTGCTTGGAGACAAAAAAAATGATGTGAGGCAGGATGTTTAGTTGTGATGCAGATAGGGCATCTTCCAGAGAAAGATGATTATCTGATTTTAAAGTCCAGTTTCCACACTTGCCAAACTAGGCTGGAATTACAGAGTTATATTGTGGCTGGCCTAACGAATCTGTGCATTGTCCAATCAAAATTCCATAATGAAATCGACATCCAGTTCTTAAACAACATGGCTGTGCTGTGCCAAATTTGTTCAATTTGTAGGATATGCAAAGCATGTGTATCGTCAACTAGTGGTTGACAGATATTTTCCAAATCTTTTCATGTTTTTAATTAAGGTGCTCAAATGATTTGATGTATTTTGCGAGGTAAAACCCTTTTACAATAAAGATCTTTATTATCAATGAGATCTTCTTAACTGGGCGCGAACCCAGGTCTTCGGCGTGATGAGTGACCATTTTAATCACTTGGCTACCCTGCTGCCTCGTTCGGTCTTAAAGAAAAGTGTCAGTGTTCATTGTAATAACCCCAATGTTAATAATTAAAGATTGGGGGTCCCTCTATAAAATACTCCAGCAGACATCCTCCAGGACACAGGGATTTCCCATAAACTTCAAGCACAGTTGGATCAGGAAAAGCATTCAGTGATGTGGGAGAAGCGATCTCTGCGGTATGGGTATGATGACACACAAAGACAGCCAGATGTGAGCAGAGAGTAGCTATGTTTGAATACTGCAATGTAATGTAGCACTGTGAGCATGCATCAGTGTAATGATTCGGTGCATTACAGCTGTTTATCATCATCATCATCATCATCATCATCATCATCATCATCAACCATCATCATCACTAGCCCAATGTGCAAAGTACTGCCACTATTTATCAACTTGTTGACTATTTTGTTCATCTCAAAATTGAACCAATTTTGTGAAGATAGTTATCAGGTATGTGCATCATCCCTGTTTAATGCACTAGCCTTCTGGTTGATGGGGTACAGCTTTACCAGCATTTATTGGGTGGGCCAGTGTCAAACATCAGGACACATTATTTCATGGGAGTTTGCCCGAAATGACTTACTTGCAATGAAATAATCAAGTCTATAAATCACAGGTGTGTCACTGGGCCCAGTGTTAATTCCACCTGCCCAGTCTCAAGTGCTTCAGAACTTCTGTTTGCTTAAGTGGTTTATATCTAGTATTATCTACTAAACTTTCATGTCTAACCTGAACTTACTCCTCAGAAATTACGCAGCAGTCTTGTGCTGTAATGTACTGCTGTGTAGTGCAGACTCTGAAAGGTGGTGTTTTTTACCCAGGATAAATAGGTTGAGATTATGTTTGTTCTTTAGAGTTTCGGTTGATTGATGAAGTAGTTGAGTCTGTGGAGATTTATTGTGCTTTTAGCAATTTACTTTGGGAGGGGAAAAGAGGAGGGGTCATTAGAAACAATGAATTAAGAGTGGAGACACGGACAAACGGGGAAGGGAGACTAGGATTATGGGGAAGACAAAGACTAAGGAGGGGAGACACAGACAAACGGGGAAGGGAGACTAGGATTATGGGGGAAGACAAAGACTAAGGAGGGGAGACACAGACAAACGGGGAAGGGAGACTAGGATTATGGGGGGGAGACAAAGACTAGTGTGAGTGAGTGAGTATGGTTTTACGCCGCTTTTAGCAATATTCCAGCAATATCACGGCGGGGGACACCACAAATGGGCTTCACACATTGTACCCATGTCGGTAATCGAACCCGGGTCTTCGGCGTGACGAGCTAACGCTTTAACCACTAGGCTACCCGACCGCCCCAGACAAAGACTAAGGAAGGGAGACATGGACAAACGGGGAAGGGAGACTAGGATTATGGGGAAGACAAAGACTAAGGAGGGGAGACAAGGACAAACGGGGAAGGGAGACTAGGATTATGGGGAAGACAAAGACTAAGGAGGGGAGACAAGGACAAACGGGGAAGGGAGACTAGGATTATGGGGAAGACAAAGACTAGGGAAGGGAGACTAGGATTATGGGGAAGACAAAGACTAAGGAGGGGAGACAAGGACAAACGGGGAAGGGAGACTAGGATTATGGGGAAGACAAAGACTAGGGAAGGGAGACTAGGATTATGGGGGGAGACAAAGACTAGGGAAGGGAGACACGGACAAACGGGGAAGGGAGACTAGGATTATGGGGGGAGACAAAGACTAGGGAAGGGAGACACGGGCAAACGGGGAAGGGAGACTAGGATTATGGGGAAGACAAAGACTAAGGAGGGGAGACAAGGACAAACGGGGAAGGGAGACTAGGATTATGGGGAAGACAAAGACTAGGGAAGGGAGACTAGGATTATGGGGGGAGACAAAGACTAGGGAAGGGAGACACGGGCAAACGGGGAAGGGAGACTAGGATTATGGGGAAGACAAAGACTAAGGAGGGGAGACACAGACAAACGGGGAAGGGAGACTAGGATTATGGGGGAAGACAAAGACTAGGGAAGGGAGACACGGGCAAACAGGGAAGGGAGACTAGGATTATGGGGAGACAAAGACTAGGGAAGGGAGACACGGGCAAACGGGGAAGGGAGACTAGGATTATGGGGGGAGACAAGGAGGGGAGACACGGACAAACGGGGAAGGGAGACTAGGATTATGGGGGGAGACAAAGACTAGGGAAGGGAGACACGGGCAAACAGGGAAGGGAGACTAGGATTATTGGGGGAGACAAAGACTAGGGAAGGGAGACACGGGCAAACGGGGAAGGGAGACTAGGATTATGGGGGGAGACAAAGACTAGGGAAGGGAGACAAGAGCAAACGGGGAAGGGAGACTAGGATTATGGGGGGAGACAAAGACTAGGGAAGGGAGACAAGAGCAAACGGGGAAGGGAGACTAGGATTATGGGGGGAGACAAAGACTAGGGAAGGGAGACACGGGCAAACGGGGAAGGGAGATTAGGATTATGGGGGGAGACAAAGACTAGGGAAGGGAGACAAGAGCAAACGGGGAAGGGAGACTAGGATTATGGGGGGAGACAAAGACTAGGGAAGGGAGACAAGAGCAAACGGGGAAGGGAGACTAGGATTATGGGGGAGGCAAAGACTAAGGAGGGGAGACACAGACAAACGGGGAAGGGAGATTAGGATTATGGGGAAGACAAAGACTGAGGAGTGAGAGAACGACTAAGGAAAGGAGACAAAAACTGAGGACGGGGACAAGGAATGTTTGTTTGTTTGTTGTTTAACGCCGCACTCAGCAATATTCCAGCTTTATGACGACGGTCTGTAAATAATCGAGTCTGGGACAGACAATCCAGTGATTGATATCATGAGCATCGATCCACGCAGTTGAGATCGATGACATGCATCAACCAAGTCAGGACAAGGAATGCAGAGGGGAGACAAAGACTAAGGAGAGAGAGAAAGTCTAAGGAAAGGAGACAAGGACTAAGAGGGGGGACACAGACTAAAAGGAGGGAAGACAAACACTAAGGAGGACAGACAAGGATTAAGGGGAGACATATTGGGGAGGGGAGATCTATCCATGATATGTGGATAAGTTAGTGTAGTGTGAAGATCAGTTACAACAGTCTTCATATTATACAACAACGCTGTCAAAAAGCACTTAGTAAACATTATGCAAGAAATATACACACAAATACTATGAATATGTCAAAGATCTGACACCTACTTATGTACCAACAATATCTCACTGCATAAGAACAATCAACAAACTGGACAATATTTCAGACCATGAATGGGTGTTTACATAATGCTTTACTACATGACTGACATTTTACGTTCACACTGGCTCATTAAGCATTGCTTGGAGGGAGGTTCCACTGGTACTTGACAAACAATGCCAGGCTTTAGGGCTTACTCTATTGTCAGGCCAAACTGACTGTGTCTTGGCTCATGCTGGAAGGGATTACTGAAAGCTCCTTCACAATAGAGATATTAACATCATACATGAGAGTGCAGGTGGTCAGGGCTGGTGCACAGGCAGATATAGCTTGCCCTTGTATGTACCCAGGTCCCCGTGGGGACTCGGGATAGAGTGGGTCCCCAGCACCCCACTGACTGTAACTAGAACCTGTAGGGATTCCGGGTTAGAATAGGACCCTGCTGGTCGTAAGAGGTGACTTATTGAATTGGGTGGTCAAGCTCGGTGACTTGGTTTATTGTGTGTCAACTACGACTACATGGGTTGTTTGTTGCTTATAATGTCAATCACAGGTTCATCTGGTCTAGGTTTGATTGTTTACAGGCTGACGTCATATACCTGAAATATTGCCGAAACAGTGGGTATTACGAGTTATGTCCCTTCTTTGTCCCTCCAACTGACCAATCAGATTCCACCTCTCATATCACTTGCATTTGCTTCAAGAAAATGGAGGCGCCCAGTCAAGACAGTCTGATCAATAATGAAGATCTATGTTGTAATAAAACTGCATCAAATAACGTGGGTATCTTGATTTAAAACCTGAAAATTTTCTGAAAATATCTATTGACGACAAATTGATGGAACACATTCTTTGCAAATCCTGCAATCGACACTGCATGGCAGTTGACAATACGGATGTCAATTTCATGATGCAGTTTTGATTGGACTATGCATAGACTTATTAGTCCAGCTAAAAAAGAACTCCATAATGCCAGTCTTGTTCAGCAAGGGTGGAAACTGGACTTTACAGTCAGGTAACTCCCTTGCCTCATGAAGATGTCCTGCTGAATGCTCCACATTTGGTTCCTGTATGCGGCATTATTCAGTGTCAGCACACAAAATCACATACTACACTGGGCAGAACTATCATCATATCCTATACTGCTCAACATTTGACAGGGACATTTCTGTATATCAAGACATAACAGAAATGTCCCTGTCAAATGTTGAGTGGTATATTATCAGCAATAATATTTTTTAAGGCCACTTGCTGAAAGGGAATTTTGATATTGTGCTTCTATTCATTTACTTCAATTGAATTCCCTGGCTTGTATGCATGAATAGATTGTCAGATATCCCTGTAGCAATACAAATAAATGTTGTGTTTTGATTCACAGATAAATCAATAATTATCCATAAGTCAAAACAATGTGGTTTCATTCACCTAACTGACTGTAGGCTGACCCTATTATTTGATAAATATAACTAGTCCTATAAGTTCTTTGTGAGGGTAAAAGATAAGTTGCTTCGACCCCCTCAAAATTTATATTAAAATTTCCAAAATAGAATAAGCCTTTACTGAGAATCCTATTGTTTTCTTCAAAATCATGTAACTTAAAACAAGTACTGGGTAATAAATGCTTAGCACTACCCCAAAAATTAAAATTTAGAAAACTGAAAAAGGTATTTTTATTACAAAACCATAATGTTTTCTTAAGTGTGCTTGGGACCAATGACTCTGTTGTTGTTTCAGATAGATGGTATCGAAGGGTCTGTAAATCTTCATCACGATGAACGAGTATGACGAGAAGGGATGGGCACACATCCACCAGGCTGCGTACCGGGGCTACGTCAAGTCCATCGAACGCTTCGTGGAGGCCAACCCAGACCAGCTGGAGCTGGAGACAAATGACGACCTTCACTCCACCCCCTTCCTCCTGGCTGTCAGTAGTGGCAACGTTGACACCGTGAACAGCTTGTTGTCTTTAAACGCCAAGATAAATGTCATCAACACCCAGAACCACGGGGCCATAGAGCTTTGCTGTATGAAACAGTTTGTTTCTCTGCTGGAGTACTTCATAAAACGAAATGATGAAAAGCTACCGGTGTGGAAGCATCTTCTTAAGATGGTGGGGTCAGATAATGAAGAGGAGGCAGAAAATTCGGGAAAATGTTTAAGGACTTTGACAGATCGTAGTGAAGCTGAAGGTATCAATGCTAACTGGGAACATGTATATAATAATGGTGGAATTCCAGTGATTGTCAAAGTGGTCAAGAGTACACTCAATGATGATGCAAAGATTCCAGCTCTTCAAGCCCTGCTCAATGTCCTTGAGAAGACAGAGGTCCAAGAACAGATGGTAAGCTCAGGCGGAATTCCTGCATATATAAAAATATTAAAATCCCAGAACCAATTCGCTGTTAAGCTGGCAGCGGAGACATTACAAGAATTGGCCAAGAATAAGGAATATGCTGATATACAAATGCAGAACCAGGTTGCCCAGGCTCTTCTAAAGGTGGCTCAGTCAGTGTCGGATTACGAGGTACTGATACCTGTTGTCCATTGCTTTAGAGTGTTGTCCAAAGTCAGCAGCACCCATCGATCAGCAATAGGAGGTGTAACTGGTGTGATTTCCACTCTGGTTGGTCTTTATGAAAAATACAGTGAACAGCAGTTATTGCTTGCCTTGACATCGGCTGTGGGTCTGATTGCGGAGGACACGAAGGCCAATCAGAACATGTTTGTGGATGAAGGTGTGACCCCTCACTTGAGGGATGTCATCATGGGGCAGATGAAGCACCGAGAGCTTCAGTTGACAGCCGTTGAAGCAGTTCACCTCCTAGCACAGGATAACCCTCACACTCAGAAGGAAATCCTTTCCAAAGGAATTGATAGAATCCTGTTCAAACTCTTGTCCAAAAGCAGGGCGGATGTGCTACTGGAGAAAACTGCGATGGCACTGTGGGCTTTGGCGGGGACGAACTTGGATGAACAGCGTGAGATGGCGACAGGGATGGGTGTGCAAATGTTGATAGAGTTCCTTAATTCTCTGTCTGAGAAACTTCACCTTATAGCTTCAGAAGGTCTGGGTGTTCTGGCACAGGGCCCCCTGAACATGCAGACTGAGATAGCTAATAAGAATGGTATTCATCCTTTAGTGAGACTGTTGAAGTCGGATAAGGATTACATTGGTCTGAGTGTGATCCGGACACTTAGGTATCTGTCTGTAGGCGTGGGGAATGTGCCACACAATCGGAACCAGAAGACAATATCCCAGTCTCAGGGCATCAGATACTTGGTGGCTCTCATGGTTCATTCGGCCAGTGAGATTCTGCGAGTGGAATCAGCTGTTACCCTGGGATATGTGTCCATAGGTGAGTACTACGTTGAATCTGAGTTGAGTTGAGTTACAGGGATTGTTGCTCATACTGTCAACAACTGGTTCAAGTGAATGAATGTTTTGAGTTTCACGCTGCTTTGAAAAGTTTTTCAGTTAAATTACAGCGTGTCAGCATTATGTGGTCGGAAAGCCCTATTAATACATTCGTACATGTTATCTACTTTGATGAAACCCTTGAAAATGTGTACAATCTCATTAAAATCAGATCTTGGTTCTCGCTATCGCTAAACAAAGATCTGAGGACATCCCATTATGGGTCACGTCAGAACGACCTTTCATCCGACCAATCAAAGCATTGCTTACCAGATCACGGAATGTGTTTTCTGATTATGCAACCTTGAAAACGTTAACACGGGGTATTCCGAAAACGACAATTACGGCCCTTATGACTGATTCCGTCAAAATTATTGTCTATCTCTCGCTTCCGAGGGATAAACATTTGAACGGAGTAGGCTTGTTTATTTTAGATTTTGTTTTAATCAAAACACAATGATGGTTATAAACATATTTTCCACCTGCTTGCCCATAGTAACCATGAAGAGTTGTGTATTCAGAATAACAATGATGTGGTACGTTTGAAGGTATAAAAACTGTGTTCTATCTAAAGAGCTTAGACCAGGATTACTATAATGCTTTTAGCTAACCTGCATTGTTGTTAAATGGTATTTCCATACCATAATCTGATTTGAAAGCCATTCTGCCCCCTGAGACTTAAGCCTTCAGCTTAAAATGAACAGTGCCTTATTAATATTATAATGATGTGTAATAGTTTATCAGTTGGGGGTACGTGTAGCTCAGATTTGCTTCTATAATAATAATAATAATAATAATAATAATATCATGGAAAATGTTAAATATATAATTCTTTGGAATAGGCCCGTTTACAGATCTTTGTTCTCGATATCGCAAAACAAAAATCTGAGGACATCCCATTACGGGTCACGTCAGAATGACCTTTCATCCGACCAATCAAAGCGTCGCTTACCAGATCATGAAAGTGACAGTCGGAATGTGTTTTCTAATCATACAACCACGAAATATTTAACACAGGGTATTCCGAATGACAGTTACAGGTTTTATGATTATATCCATACAATCTAGGCCATCTATAAGCCATTCCAGAATGTTCTTCTTATCAGTTTTAATTTTCAAAAGTCAAAATATGTTTCAAAGCGTAGTCGCCAGTTTTGATACTAGTTTTGAGAAAGCTGCCTTCTGGTTGGGTAATGTCGATTTCTTGTCAGTCATTTCATTGATCAGTCAAAATTCGCGGAAGGTCATTCTGACGTGATGTCCTCAGATCTTTGTTTAGTGGTAGCGAAAACTAATATCTGATTTTAATGAGATTGGGAAACTGGACTTTTATTGTGACCCAGAACACACAGACATGAAGTAGCCAGCTTTAGATGTGGCATCTCCCTTATGTATGTGCAATACCCTACAAAGAGAGTTTGTATAAAAGTTGATAATTGTATGTTTTTGTATAATAACATGTTATGCATATTGGTCATTTTTCATCAATTACTAACGTCTACTTTCATGGTGTGGCCATGTTGTCTAAGGTGCTGCCATTGGCTTTGCAGAGTTGCATACCTTGGACACACCAGAACCCTATGATTGTGTGTTTGAATCCTGGTTTGCCCTGATTGTGATTCTAGGTTTGTCATTCACCATACCGGTACTTGGGGGTTTGGGCTTTCCTCCCACATCAAGCTGACAAGCTGTGACATAACTGGAATACTGTTCAAAGCAGCGTTAAACACTCACTCACTCACTCACTCACTCACTCACTCACTCACTCACTCACTCACTCACTCACTCACTCACTCACTCACGCACCCACCCACCCACCCACCCACCCACTCACTCTCAAAGGTTGCTTGTATGCTTTAATATGTTATGTCATGTTTTCTTTTTACATACTGCACATATTGCCGACAGCGGCACAGTGCCAAATCTTAAAATCAATTATGTAAGGAACCACAGCTAACCAATTCATTTGTATGGATGAAGAATTATGATTACATGATCCAGGTTCAGCTCGCACTGCACACATAATACAGCACACGCAGACCTGGAGCTTATTAACGTCATCATTGAGTATCTATCATACAATCTCCAAACACTGTGTTCGCTTCTTGTTCAATAAGTGAGATTACGAACCTGATAAATGTCCTGGGTAATAATCCCAGGTAGGTTACATGGAAGATATAGCATTGAAGTCCAGAAGGATCAGATGTAAGGTGTGCTTATTGCTGTCTGTGTACATACCGACGGAGATATGGTGCCTAGTATCGGTAACATTGACAGGATAGTGTCATTATACGTAAGGAATCCATTTGTCACAGGTTTTCTATGGGCCTGTGATCTTTGATGATACATGTATTCGCTTCTGAGGGATATATTTGGACTGACATCACGTAATATGGTACATGTCGGTTCGTAGAAGGTTCACTCATGGGGTTTACGTATGTGTTTTATTTGATTTGTTTGTTTTATTTGTTGTTTAATGCCGCACTCAGCAATATTCCAGCTATATGATGGCGGTCTGTAAATAATCGAGTTTGGACCAGACAATCTAGTGATTGATATCATGAGCATTGATCTACTCAGTATGGATATGTTGCCATGCATCAACCAAGTTAGCGAGCCTGACCACTTGATTCCGTTAGTCGCTTCTTACAACAAGCATAGGTTGCTGAAGAGCAATTTGGACACAGGTACTGAGTTGATAGGCTTATAAATTACATGCTTCATGTTAAACTGGTGCTGTACAGAATACTGGTACCTGATTGGTTGTATGGATTGTAGGAAGTTCTTAGTGTCAGTGGGACCACTTATATGAGTGAGTGAGTGAGTGAGAGAGTTGGGTTTAATGCCACTTTTAACAGTAATCAGAGCTCCAGATAAGCTGCGTATATGCATAAAATACGCATCAGAAATGCAGAAATAGGCAGTAAAATAAAATCCAAGCGTATCAAATACGCAACGAACATTACAGATACGCTACAAAAATAAAACTTGTGCGTATCATCAAAATATTGTGAAGTAACCCTTTCTTATTCGATAAGCAAATCAGCAACTTATTTTGAAATTATAAACGGGCATTCAGTCAACCTTGCCAAACTCCACGATGACAGTTACATCATGATCATTTGCCATCACACTTTCTTGTGGTATTTTTGAGTCCTATAAAGCTCTCGAACCTACACGACACCAGTTTGCAGGTACTAGATGAATAGTGTTTTTAAATATTTAAATACCCAAATGTGTAAAAACTAGTGGGTAACAGAAATTTGAATACCCAGATAGAATTACTGATACCCAATGATTTTAAAATGCATGGTAAAATACCCACAACACCAAAAGCTTATCTGGAGCTCTGAGTAATCCAGTTATGTCACAGTGAAATCAGCATGATGTGGGAGGAAAGCCCAAAGTGATGCAGGTCTCAGACGTTTACCACTTTGGTGAAACCCACGAGCACGGGTATGGTGCTGACAAACCTAGAAACATAACTAGGGCGAACCGGGATTCGAACCCACAAAATTATGGTTTCTGGCGTGCAACTCTGCACAGCGAATGGTGGCACCTCAGACAACTGGGGAAACCAGCAGACAGAAGCAATCTTCATTTATTTATCTCAGTCATTTGGAGGTTAATTTGTGTGAGAAATATTGCTTTTCTTTTGTTTCTTGTTAATTGCTCAGGGGAGAAAACAAACTTAGTGAAAATGTCAGTGTAACTGTAAATAGCAAATCACTTTAATAAAGTGAGTGAGTGAGTATGGTTTTACGCCGCTTTTAGCAATATTCCAGCAATATCACGGCGGGGGACACCAGAAATGGGCTTCACACATTGTACCCATGTCGGGAATCCAACCCGGGTCTTCGGCGTGACGAGCGAACGCTTAAACCACTAGGCTACCCGACCGCCCACTTTAATAAAGTAAAAAATAGCCAAAAAGTAACAGATCTGTATAGCCAGTATTGAAATTAGTCTGCTTCAGACACTGCTACCAGGCAACAAAATAGTGATTATTTGTCATTCCAAATTGCTGCCTCGGGGATTTATCTAGACCTGCTCAGAGGCTGATATTCAGCCCCATGTTTGCCACAAATGACTGTAAGAATCCCCAATTTGAATAAAAAAATATACAAATTCCTCAGAATTTACAAAAATAAAAACATTAAAAAAATACAGTTTTGAACAATATTGCTAGTTTTTCCCAGTTTGCCTGCAAGGGCACTTAGTTTGGAATCCTGGATAAATCTCTGCACCTCTTCATCATAAAACATAAAATTGTACTTAACTTTCCGAACACTAATAGATATTTGTGGCCAGACGTGGCCAGATATGGCCAGACCAAGTTATTTTCAGGTTTTACAGATTGAGGGACGTGCCAAATTCTTGACAAGAAATATTAAGTTCCTGTAATTAAAATGATTATTTAAACTTAAAGTACAGTACACTACACCATTTCATTACTTGACTGTAAAAGTCCAGTTTCCACCCTTGCCAAACTAGGCTGGAATTTCTATGCTCGACTGTAGCGCCACCAGTGGCTACATGTATTACGAGTTATGTCCCTTCTATGTCCTTCCTATTGACCAATCAGATTCCACCTCTCACTTGCATTTGCTTCAAACAAATGAAGGCACCCAGTCAAGACTAGCTGATCGATAATCAAGGTGTATATTGTAATAAAACCTGTCTTACTTTGCGAAGTGCATCTAAATAATGTGGGAACCTTGATTAAAAACATGAAAAGATTTGGAAAATCTCTGTTGATGGTACACATGCTTTGCAAATCTTGCAATCGACCAAAATCTGCACGACAGTTTACAAACTAGATGTCGATTTTGTTACTTGATTTGGATTGGACTATGCATAGACTTGTTAGTCCAGACAAAATATAACTCCATAATTCCAGCCTAGTTTGGCAAGTATGGAAACTGGACTTTTATAGTCAGT